AATAAGAGCCATTATAGTTTGTCTTTAAGTGCGTCAACTGCAAGTTGTCGCTTTGTAAGGACTACTTTGCGTCGTTTTCGGCCCTTAATACCCGATCCTTGCTGTTGTTTCAGTTTGTCACTAACATGTTCTACAGCTTTGTCGATTGCCGATTCCACAGCTTTATGTGCCATATTTTTCATATGCGGTTGGGCTTTTGTTATTAAATTGTTTATATGGGGCGCGGCTTTGCTGAAAATACCTTTAGCAAAACCGATAACTTTCCCCCAAAAGCCAGCACCGGACATAAGGGCACCGCAATATACCGGCATCCCAAACCCATGTTGCCGGCTAAAGGCTTGTAAATAACGATTTTCATTAAACTTTCAGCGTTTCTTGGGTCGAAAATGTAACTTTATTATCGTGGTACCGGGATGAAACGATACTTCTGTCCCTAAATCATCTGCGAGTTTTAATTCAATGGTCTTAAAGGTGTGTTTGGCAAGTGGCACATAATGCGGATTTTCGTAAATTAATGTAGTCTCGGTGTGAGAACTGGCGACGGTTGCGATTGTTCGTAGCAACGGTACCATTGCATCGCCGACGAACCCGTGCTCAATAATGTCGCAATAAACATGCACAACACGACTCTGTTTGCCCGGTCGTAAGTGGTACGTTTGACCACCGGCACCGGCGTAAAAGTGCTCTTGCAATAGACCCAGCGCCCTCGTATACTCTGATCCCTGAAACGTGAGCTCGGCATCAGGATTTACCACCAGCTGTGCGGAGCTACCAGTCACGTCAATATGTCCAAAGATGGTGTCTTTGTCACGCAGTAGAAGGTTTATTTTCCGAATTAGTTGATTCTCGTCATTGTATGACTCTTTATTTAAATACCGACTGTGTCTCGGCGTAGTCGTGGTTTTAACTAGCACTGCCAAACCCTCAGTAAACCTGAGACGCATCGGTGGTAAAATAATTTCGGAAAGACCGCCTTCCCAGTTTCCATCAAGATCAATACCTTTGGCTAGCAAAGTTGTGAATTTTCCACAACGATTTGCGGGATAAATATTGTGAGATGCGGAAGACGGTAGTGTCATATAAAAACTCATTTTTGATCTTCTTTGTTTTCCCAAGAGTCGTAAGCGGGACCGTAACCGTACCAACGTATAAGGTATTGCTGTTTCCCTTGTACATTCTCTCCCTTAATATACGTGATACACGATGAAACGGTCGCCCGGTCATAATAAATTTCGACAGTTCGCTGGCATAAAAATCTCCATCAATTTTCTCACCTCCTAGGTCCTCCAAAGCATAAATGTAATGATTTTGTCGTTTTTTAACTTGTACAATTTTAAAAATTTCTTCAGTGTAATTGGTTTCGTATCCCTTTTCGAACGTCTGCTTGCGTTTTGCTATACGCACGTGATCCCCTACCCGAAAAATAGGATTTTTTGCTTGTGGCTCTTCTATCAGATCTTGAGGTTTAATGCGCGCTTCATCCACATCCACTTGACTGGGGGCAAACCCTGTACTAGAGTGAACAGAATTATTATATGATTTTAAAATCTCAGGTAAAATATCGAGGTACTTGTAAGTATTATTCTCTGTCATGTACACGTAAAGACGTTCCTTTACTGTTCGGTTAAATCGCTCTACCATGGCACATTTAACATCGTCGTTCTTTGTTGTAAAAAACCTGATATTGTGATCAGTAAAAAAGTTTTTCAGTTGTTTATTCACAAATTCTTTACCGTTATCGCTTTGACAGCGCAGTGGTCGATCAGATTCTTTATAAATATTACACAGAGCCCGAATAATTTCTTCGGGTTTCTTGGATTTGACGGGCTCGGCCCAGCCGTAGCGAGAAAAACAATCGACACAAGTCAGTAAATACTTAACGTCTTTATTGTCATTCGCAAATTTTTGCATATCTGCCAAGTCAATTTGGTGCTGGTCACCAATATTAAATGATAAAATCTTTCGACGTTTAAATTTCGACCGAAAAGGTTTATGTTGAGTATAAGCGTCTTTGCTTTGCAAATACTCTTCCACTTGCTGACGAGAAAATCCATGATTTTGCGCTTCCCGGTACAAACGCTCGATGTCTCCCAGACTACCAGGATTAGAAGCATCTAAATAAATATCGTCCAGTGTTGCCATTATGCGTAGTTGAGCCAACCACCCTTCTGTGTCTTTTGCTTCTTTTTAGGAGGACCAGTAGATTTTGTGGTTTTACGCCTTAATAAGTCATAGCTCTTTTCAACGCCATTCTTGAGGGTGCGTGTTTCCGTTGGTTCTGTATAGGTCAACGCTTTGGCTGTCGGAGCCGCTGGTGAAGCCTTTGAAGTTGATGGGGCGGGCAAAGCTTTTAAATTTTCCGGTACTGATAAGGCCTGTGAAGTCAAAGGGGCCGGTAACTCCAATTGCGGTACCCTGGATGTAATCGCTTTTCTATCTGGAACCTTATACGGAGCCGCTTTTTTGCTGCGTGTAATTGGATCAGAGCTTCGCGGTGCAACCACAACGTCGATCCGATCTGTAGGTAGCGACACGGGAAGTGGTTCGTATTCGGGAGGTACATACTCTAAAGACCCATCATCCGGAAACTCTACGATGGGTGAGGATGGTAGCTTCTTTTTTGGTTTTTGCCCTTTGGATATTGGCTTGGGGCGTGGACTTTTATACACATGTTTTACCAGTGTCTCTCTAGGTACATACTGTGGTACGTATTGTACAACTGGTTCACGTTCGATATACTGCACAACGGGATCGCGCTCGATATACTGCACAATAGGTTCGCGTTCAATATTTTGTGTTGTGGGCGCACTTTGGATATATACTGGCTCACTTGGTAGATACTGAATAACCGGAGGTTCGATCGCTTGTGTTGATCCATCAGTAAGAAGAGGCGCAGCTTAAGTACCATAGTTCCTTTGCGAAGGCACGTTTGGTTTGTGTTCGTTAACTTCAGATCTCATAACCCGTGGTTCATAGTCTGCAGACTTAGTCTGATACGCGGCACGAGCCAGCAAATCATGAGTCATGGCACTACGAATTTCTTCAGCCTTTTTCCATGATGTGGCTTTGGTCTTGCCGGGTGCAGAAAATTTGGACTCAGGTACAAGAACGTAGGTCTTCATTTTGTTATAAATGATGCAACTAGTGTTCCTAGAATTGGAAGTAGAGCAGCTAAGAATCCTCCTTTTTGCGCTAAAATTGTTCGCTTTTTAACGTGTGAAAGTTTTCTGTCGGCTAAACGCTTAATTATCGGTGCAAAACGTCGTGCTCTGGCTAAATCAACTTCACTCAAAGCCGTTGGTTGCTTCACCAAATTTAAACAAGCTTCTTCAATTGCTAAAATTTGTTTTTTAGAAGCAACCTTCGAATTGGACGGAAAGGATGACGTTACGGATATCCATGGCTACGAGCATTAATTGCGACAGTGTCAACTTGGAACCTTTATATACCTTTCAAGTTAAGACTGTCACAAATAATGGCTTTTAAGCCTTTTTTCTTTTCACAACAAACAGAACAGAGTAAATGCTAAGTAAGATATGCTAATAAAAATTGAAGCATCCAGTCAGACAACAATATCCCGTCCCCAGTGCTGGATGTAGATTTCCTCCATGAGATTGATGAATCCCTGATATGGTAGTTGAATGGTGCGCCGAGGTTGAGAGAAACGAATCATGCGTCTGTATTTTGGGTGGATGCTGACAGTAACATCCACACAGCCCTGACCCGGTAGAGAAAACTTTTCAGCGCTCCTGTCAACGATGGCGCGGTCCATGTAGTCCTGGAGCGGCCCGTTACGAATCATCCCTAACATGCTGTTGATATCGACATAAGCCAGACGAACTCCTTTGTCCATGGCCTTCTTCAACCCAGAACCGTCCGGTTTGGCATCGAACACTAAGAAGAAGCAAACGTCTTTGGGGTTCCAAAACATACTAACTACAGCGTTGATTTTGTAGATAGCAAAATCTTCATGCACCCCCAAAACTTCCAAAGCCCGTACTAAAGCCATGTTGATGTCAACAGTAGAGCAGTAAACGCAAAACTGAAATTACTACAGACAAACGTTGCTCTTAAAGACTTACAACAGTGAAATTTTACTGGCGAAAAACTCCAGTGGCGATGGTGCGCCAGTGACGTCATAGGCATCGTACTTGGACAGTATATCCATATATTGTGTTTCAAGACGATACAGTAAAGTTTCGTCGTGCGCAATTCTCCACACGTCACCATTTGTCATGTCGTTTGCTAGCGAAACATTAGCTGAAGCACATTCGAGATGAAATTCCGCTGGTAACGGTTGAATATTGAAGTTTTGAATGAAGGCCAACGAACGTCGCAAATCACCCCATTTTATGGAATGCAGCAGTTTGATTCCTTTTCTAGGAATTCTCGCGCGGCCGCAAGAGATCTGACCAATGAATCGATCGATTTGAATGACGGTGACCCCGTTTACAACAACGCGCTTCGCCATCAAACCATCGCTAAAATCTTTAGCGTCTTCGCGGCTGTTCGCTTCACGTAGATAAACAAGGACCTGTAGAAATTCCGGAATCGAAAGTAACAAAGATTTCTTATAACATCGAAATCCAGTCATTTGGATTTTACTAAAATCTAAGAACTTCAGATGAAAAGATCCAGAAGAGTATTCCCGTTGCGCTGGGATAAAAAGTAAGTCTGAAAGGTCAAACGAATCCATGGCTGCAGAAGATGCAAATGAGCTTTCAACGCCAAAGAATCGACTTATATATACGGAACAAACATGGTCAGAACGCGCTAGTACATGATCGTACATGAATGTCGCCACCAGTTGACTGCACCAGAGAGAGTCAGAGAGAAAGTAGGTCATCGCCAGTACCGTTTCATGGATAAAAGCTGATTTCTTTGGCAACGAAAGCTCATTTGCAATTTCAAACGCCATGGATCAGTTCAAAGGCTGTTTATTAGGCGCACTCATCGGAGAATGTGTTGGAGCACCCCTCAGGCGCCCTACGTCTTGCCACATGAACCTGGCGGGGGTGCGTAGTAAAATTTCGACTCACTGGGAAAAAATCCTACTGACTCACGCTTACGGAAGGTCACTACTGGATACCGGCTACTTTTCCATGGAAAATGCCGCTCGGGAATGCAGCAATGCTTTTTACCAGAATTACACTAAGCGGAAAGCCTTTGGCGAACTGACTGAGATTATTGCCAACTGGAAACGTTCGCCCCCAAAAGACTGGACCGCCGCGGCGCAGAGCGTCCGCAACCGGGGAACAGAGTGTAATCCTGCCACTTGGATAACAGCGTTTCCCTTGTACTTTTACAATCGGACGGAGCAGATGAGTTACTCTGTAGACCGTGTAGCTCGACTTACCCACTCCTCCAATGACGCCGCCGCTAGAGCACAGTTGCAGGCCTGCGCCATTAGTCTGGTTCTAAAGAATAAAAAGATGAAGGAGCTTGAGTTTCTCGCCGCTCTTGTTGAATACACTAACAAGTCTCTCCCCGATTCTGTACGTCAGAAATTTTATACACGTATGATGATGGTGCTGGACTACGCGCAACGCGCTGAACCGAAAGAGAAATTGTTCAAAGCGATTGGCGTTGGCACCAGCCCTTTGGACGCAGTTCCCGTTGCCATTTGCTGTGCTGCCATTGGCCGCCGCAGCGGATGCCCTTTTGAAGCCACCTTTCATGCGGCAATGTCAACTGGAGGATGCACTGATGCCATTGGGACCATGGCTTGTGCCATTGCAGGAGCCTGGTCCGGATTCTCAGGTGTACCTGACGAAATGGTGGGCATGTGGGATGGCCAGGAGCAGATTTATGCCTTGGCAAAAGAGCTGTACACGTACGTTTCCACACTGCACGGTCCCGACGGACCACTCTCCACGTTCGAAAATTGGCCACACCTCCTGCCTTCCGCTGGCGCCATGGCGAGGACGGGCCTATACTACACCGGATCAAAAGATACTGTTAAATGTCATTACTGTCGGTTCACAATGAGCAACTGGACACCGGGAGATCCATACAGTGACCATCAGAGATTTAACGAAAATTGTATTTTTGTCACAAACTGTACTGCTACTCTTGCGTATGTTCGTGCGTCATGATTTGTTTTTACTTTGTTCATTGTTATGTTAAAAAAAATAAAAGAGGGTGGGGAAAATTAAAACAAAAGAAAGTGGGTAAACATGACCCAGAAACTAGATCCGGGTTTGGTCTGCGCTCTCAGTCTGGACTTAGAGCTGCTAGACTAGCGGCCCTGTCTCGGCCTCAGTCTCCGTTTCGACCAATCAGAGATGCTGCTATCCCTACTGCCTTACTACTAATAATGTTAGGAAAACTGAAACAACGCTGCTAAGCTCCTCCAAATACCGCGGTTTCCTTTATTCATCATCTAAAACAGAAGACTGCATTATAATATTGCTATCTTGCGTTCTATTGTATTTGTAGCTAATAAATTAGACTGACCATTTCGATTATTTCCTGGGCTTTTTTTCTTGAAAAAAGATACCATACAACACCCTGAGTATCACATAAATTATTTGAGGAAATAAGCAGAACGGGAATTCAATATGAATGACCTGATTTGAAGGAAATCCCTCGTCAGAATTCTGATATAATTTAATGGTAGCTTTTGAATTACATGTAGATATTAGAGGCCATGTAATAATTCTTACATTCATACCAAAATGACCGATTTCGGTATGAGTAATAGATGTAAAATATATTTATTCAGGTAGATCACAGCGAGCTTGTTTTAAAGCACGCTGGCGATGCCATTAGCAATACAGCACGATCCTTTACACGTTCATCACGCAAAAACTAATACTGTAGTCCATGAATAAAAACGCTTCTAGCAAATCAGCATAAAATCGTTAAAAAGATAGCATGCAGCAGTCAGCAGTAAATTCTAAATGTCGACATCCATGCCTTCTACGGCGAATCCGCATGTTGGAAACAGCGCAAAAGGGCAGTCGCACATCCATCCTGCAAAACAATTAATTAGCGCATTTAAAGCACTATTAGATTCGACATTTCTGGTGTACGTTTCGCTGCGCTCAAGTGACATGAAAAATTTTTTCTGCACTTTGAAAAATTAGTTCTGTGTAGCATGCATGATGACATGAATTGTAGTGAAGTTGCTTGTCAACAGAATTAGAATTAGTGTTCCAAACGACTATGCGGAGAAAAACCAGTAATCATTAATCATCAGAATAACTATCAAAATTAAAAACATTAGTTTTTTTAGAGCTTTCAAGAAGCTTTTCTTTATTTTCATGTTCTTTCAAGTTAAAACTGACAAACTGCTAACAACAAACCTATATTAGTTTTGAAATTTTGTTTTTTGTTAACTAAAATAAAATAAATGCCGTTTTACCGCCATAGGCAATTGAAATGGTTATTTGCCATAAAATTAAAAACTAAATTTCAAGAACGCTTGCATGTCGACATGCACTAATGCAAAATCAAGATTTTTGCTGAAAGTTCGTTTTAAAGAAGTTTAAATACTTCATTATGTTATTGACAGTTGATTTAGCCACGATCTTTTTTGTACAGTAAACTCATTTTAAATAAAACCGTTAGTGAAATGCTCGTCTTTTACGGTCAGTTATCATGCACGGACCTGCTATCTTACTGCATGTCTTCATGCATATTGTTCCCGTTGAGCAACACCTTCCAGCGACCTGTAAACAAAAAAATTGACTCAAGATTGGAATACTAGTAACTTTTTTGTTAGTCTAGTGTTTTACACCTGAGGCTGACAATGATGCTCTCACCGTAAGATCAGCAGAAACTTCCTTGGGGTCTTCATAACTTCACAGCCGAGATCGTGTTCTTGCGTGCACTGTCAAAGACGCGCTGCGCCTGGCAGCTTTGCAGAATAAACACTATCATTGCTCACAACTTCACGTTAATGATACAAATGGATCTGGCTGTCGACAGCCATATAACAAAAAACTTGAGCTGGTTAAGCAGAATCATAATTATTAAAAAGCAAGACTTTCAGAAAGTTAAAAATGTGGTTTTTGAAGTTACTTTTCAGAAGTAAGGACGGCACAACGGCGCTGAACGTGAACGTGCTGTGAATGCTAAAGTAACACGCTCTACCAATCAGAGGAGGCATAACAGCAGCTTTTAATGATTAAGCTTTGCAGCAAAAGTTTAACTGCCGACGCTCGTGCACTTGCACGCTAATTATTTTGTAAACAACTGCCTTTCTTATCAGTGTTTATCAGTGTTTAAAAGAATTGCAACTATACAAATATTGCTGTAATTTTTAGTAATTTATGTCGGTCGACCGACACTTGTTTTTGCACAGAAGCTATAATTCTCGTTATTGATTGCACAGCAGGGTTGTTATGTTGAGACATTTTGTGCCAAACGACCAGCAGAGCTTCCGTTTTCATATATTAACCTGTTTAATGTAACTAATATTATATAACAACACAGAAAAAATTAACAACATAAAAAGTTTTGGCTTTTACAAAAGTTTTGCTTTTGTCGACCAAAGGATGTACGAGGGCCCTTTCATAAGTTTTAGTCTTTGCTGCACGGTTTTGAACTAAATCAAATTTACTTTTTCGAATCCATAAAATGTACTTCTCTACTCTGTCTGCACTGCAGGCATCTGGTCCCCAATTCTTGAAACGAATTCAGAGAAAAATGACGCGGTAAAGAGGAGATCGACCCATAAAAATTCTGTATCTCTTCTTTTTATGCTTTTTGCTCTTAGACATCTAACATTACATTTAAAGTGAAAATTATTTTGAACTAGTAGTAGGCTAGGCTATGTTGATAAAATGGCTGCGTCAAGATATTCTTGCGTGATGTTGCAAAACAAATGAGCGGAAGGACGAAAAGTGTAGGTGCGTGCTGACTTGGGGTTGCCCCATACGGAGGCTATACCGTGTCAAAGACAATCTTCTCCAAGCTTATCTGCGAGGAGCTGCAGCGATTCCTCGAAACCATTGCTTCCTAAATGTTTAGTCCCTCTACTATTGTTTTCATGGTTCAACGAGATTATTGTTGTTTGTGGCTGTTTTAGAAGAGACGTTGTCTAGATGTAAACATAAAAGTATGGTTCCTCAATTCCCTGGTCTACGTCACAGAAGATTGCCCAGCTCGAAATAGCTTAACCAGTCCACAAACGTTAGAACGTGATGGCAATGAATCAAGGAAAAGCATAAATAATTCGCCAGGAAATAAAACTCCGGTGTTCTTTTCTAGCAATTTTTTTAAATATGTAAAGAAAATCCGCGGTCGGTAAAATGTTAACTCATTATTGACGCGAGACATTTTGAGCCTGGGTACCTTTGCACGAACGGATGCCAGTCGCCAGCCGTGGGCGGTATCACCTCGGCCATTGCCCTATGATCTAGTTATGAATGCTACAGTTTTTGAAAAATCAGATCATAATTTTATTAATTTTGGTTCGTTTCAAAGGCTAAAACTTATGAAAGGGCCCTCGTAACTTCGATAAAAATTTGTGCTGATATAAAACCTGGTTTCTAACCGGCTGCCCAAATCTTGCCGTGGATATATGTTGTGAGAGGCTACCGATATAATATAGTATTTCGATATAATTCAGAAAATACTTTTTGACGTGGGAATCGAAGGACTGGGGTCTACGTTGCCGGTATCAAATTTTCATTGCCTTCCTGCTTATAGCGTCGGATAACTTGAGCGACTCAGGGCATCGTGGTGCCGTATATTTCTGTACGACCTAAATACTCGTAGAAGCTAAATACCGTATACGTACTACTCGTATACCTACTGTAACATGTAATTATGCGACTATACCAGTGGTTCCCGTGCTACACAGTCTGTATGCGGTTCCGAATTCGACTGAAAACTTTAACTTATGCAGTGAACTAGATATGTATCACGCTGAATCTCGAAACTAAATATGTGTAGTTGTATTTAGATACTTACCGGTAGTTATCTGTTTAATCGCACAAGGCTGTGCTGGAATAATAACTAAAACTTAAAGCGCTTTGCAGTTACACGGCTAGCAATATTTCTATACTTATTGGACGAAATCTTTCATTTTTTCGTAAAATCAGTTACTAGCTAACTGCACATGCCAACGTCAAGGACCGCGCAGATAATAACGTAGCGGTGAATGCCTGTGCTGGCACCATTACTGCAGCAAAGGAAAAAAGGTGCGACACACTAAAGCCGACCAGTTACAAGTTAATATTAAGAAGACAATAACAGACACAGCTATGACACGAAAAGTAAATTCAGTCCATTTTATTATTAAGTGGACTTAGAAGTTATGATATGAGCTTCGTGGGACCGGTCGTCCTTTGCTATGGACTGATTTGTTTCCATTGACCATTTTTTTCCTTAGAAAAGTCAAGCATTTTCCAACGTCGTTTCTCAATGCTGTTCTATACTCCGTACCAACAATGAAGAGTATCACCTACAAAAAGATTAACAAAATAAAAACAGTGATCACACCAAGCCATTTCACTTTAGTCTGACCGGGTTAATGGTAGTGTAGTCCACTAACTGCACTGTTCTCGCCTACATCGATGACCGGACATCCTTCATACGTTGATAATACGTTGATAATAAGACGGGAGCAGGTACGGTCATGCAGTGCAGGATAAATGAGAAAAACAGTGCTTTGACAGTGGCCCACTGGCCATTCGTCGTTTTCGCTGCTCCAACTCGTTTCTCAGCATAGTGGTATTCCAACCTAACCGTTGCAACCCAAGGAGGGCATACAAACTTCCGCATGTTACACCCACGATGGCAACAGGGATGTACGTCCCGAATACCAGCATCAAGCCACTAATGGACCCCTTCCCGAAAATCCTTCCACTATGGCCAAATGCTGGATTTTTTCCGTACACTAAACCCAGGACCACGTGAGCCGCTGGAAGCATTACGATGATGGACAGGATCCATGCAAAGAGTAGTGCAGCGAATGATATCCGGCGGAAAGAGAATACAGCATAATGATCAGGCAAAATGATGGCGATGAAGCGGGGTTGAGTGCAAGTGCCGCCTATGTCCAGTTACTTATACCGATGTTGACCAGGAGAAACGCCTGAGCCGCTTTTCCATTTCTTCAAACGGTGCATTGTTACCAAGAATACAATCTCAGAACAGCTGCTAAACTGGCTATACCAAACTGTATTCCAATCCAGATATGCAATTCTAATGCAGATAGCGTTTCTCGTAGTGGCAAAGAGCCGTTCGACTCATTCGACGTGTTGAAAGTTTTGTTGCTCATTTTACTTGCAGAGACGTAGACTACTGACGTAAAAACGGCCAAACTGAGCTTGTACCCTGCAGCGAGTGCGCCGGCATCCTACTGATTTTAAAATGGAAAGCCGTTCTTTTGAAAGGCCGGAAATAACTAAGGGTTGTTCGTTCATTCGCCCGTTCACTGTAAGTGTATACAGAACACAGCTCTTCGCGTCCGCTATCGTGTGACAGTCGACAAGCATGACCTTTGGTTGCAATCCCGCGAACGCTCCTGCTGAGAAGCTTGACTAATCAGGGGATGGGTTAATCCATCGAATATCATTATCTTGTTGCGATTTACTTTGTGATTTTCATTGTTCTTGCTAGTTGCACGCACCACCAAGTGTTATCATCCCTCACTGGGCCGTCAGACATCCTAATTTCCAACCATATTGACTCGTTATGCAGGAAGAGCCAAACGAGAAATAAAGGAAAAGATGTAATTTTAATTTTACCAATTTTAGATTTAAGCCGGTTCATAACACCTTTCAAACAATATTACAATTAAAGCAAGCGTAAAAAATCCAGTACGTGTGCCTTGCAATTCTTTGGTACAATAGTCAGGTTTGTGGAAACACTACTAAACCACGCAGTCAGTTGTTTAACTTTAAGGTACAGTGCAATCGTGTTCTGTAGCCGCATGCAACATGCGATCGCCATTCGCCATTAAGAGTGAGTCTTGTAATTTACGACCGCGATCGCGATTCCTAACCATGCGCTATCGTAATGGCAGGTGAATTTACGGACTCGCAAGTTACAAAATCGACAAATGCTATGCTATAGCAAATGACACACCGTGCGATCGCTTTCGCTACTGCGATCGCATTCGCGATCATACACCTACGGGTGTCCCGAAATCAAAAATGTGATGGCAAATGTACCGGAACCGGAAACAGCACTACTTCGACATTTGTCGAAGTGGTAACTGGCTTTTCTAGTTTGTGCACTTCGGTACACAATACTTTCCATCAGATTTCCATCCGATTAACGCGTTTTTAGCCACAATGTAGTGTTTCTTTGTATTATGTTCGTGGAATGTTTTAAATTAAAACAGAAGAAAAAAAGTTTTGGCTGTCAACATCAATTTGTAAGTCTGCAGCTGCTTCGAACTGCTGATTCTTGTAAGTAAGTAAGTAAGATAAGGTTACTTATCAGCTAATGGAATAAAAACTCGATTGATTATTGTGCCCACTGATTACTGGGAAGTTTTAAAAATTACTATCGGAGCAAAACGACGTCTGTTTGATTTTAAATTTTTGAATTTCTCACGTTAAAACAGCTGGAAATCCCAAATAGCACATGTTCTACGCAGCTATCTAGCAACGTAGAAATAGCATGTACCATAGCACATCCTGTTACACAATTTACGGACACTGGAGATTTGGCATGGCGATCGCACATGCTATCACTGCGATAGCGAAAAAATTTCGCTATGGTATTTACGGACACGACTATGTGCGATCACGGTAGCACGATTTACGGACTCATGGAATATGATCGCGGTTGCAATCATCATCGTACATGCCATGGTACATCATTTCAGGACGATCTCGTGTGCTATTCATACTATCGCGATCGCCATCGTGAATTTCAAGACTCACTCTAAGGTGTGTTAACCGGATATACTGTAGTAAGTATATTTCAGCTACATACAATAGTAAGTACAATAATAATTTGCATATATTATATTATTAACTGCATATATAGATAAACATACAAGAAATAGCACATCTATATATATACATATACTTACATATATATGCATATTTCTGCAAGTAACTTTTCTTGGTCCGCTAAATCTCCGATAGTATGAAACGAATGATCCTAACTTTATGTTTGGACACTGCATTTATAAACCTGAACTGTTCCTTTTATGTTGTACTGTACAAGCTCGTCGGAAACAAGAGTGTGTTTTCTTTCATCGTTCAACGATTCCTATTAAGAAATTTTTCTAGACAAAGTTGTAAGTGCTCGCAGTTTTAATCGGTTTATCAATACAAGTGCACACAAGCGATTAAAAATAAAGCGATGTAAAAATTCCACGGAGGCAAGTGGAAAAAACGGAAATATGAAACAACAGAAAAAGCGCCCCGGTCCAGTATCCCTAGTTAAGTTGGCGAGATCGTAACTACTACCGAAAAAATATCAGCATAACCGCTCGCTGGTTAAGACTTTTAGCGATTAAGAAAATTGGATAATTTCTTTGTCCCTTCTGCTTAACCGGTGGCGATTATTAAGATTTTGTGCAACCGGAGTTGTCTCGGATTAACGAACAGATAGACGTTTTCGGGAGTTGCGGTCGCAAGAGTTACAACGAAAAGGCATTAATTGTATCGTTTTCTTAATCGGTTTTCGTGCTTAGCGCACTAGTTCATAGTTTGATATTATATGGGAGTTGTGATTTGAACTTGGTGGGACAAGCCGCCGACTATCCTTTCCGATGGAATGACACTGTTCCGTTTCGCCGTCCGTTGTTTTCTTAAAAAGTCGAAACATTTTTCGACGTCGTTCTTCAGTGCTGTTTTGTACTCCGTCCCAACAACGAATAGTATTACCTACAAAGATTGGCAAATAAAAACATCAATTAAACAAATCGAATTTTTCATGGCAATCTAACCGGGTTCGCAGCGTAGGCCACTAACTGCGCTGTTCTCGCGTACATCGATGACCGAACATCTTTGGACCACACGGTGGTAAAATACGTGGATAATAAGATGGGAGCAGGGACTGTCATGCAATTGAGGATAAATGAGAAAAACAGTGCTTTGACAGTGGCCAGTCGTCGTTTACGGGCTCGCCACTCCAGCTCGTCCGTTTGCACATATGTACTGCGACGCAACCGTTGAAATCCAAGCAGGGCATACAAAATTCCGTATGTACAACCCGCAATAGCCACGGGGATGTAACTCCCGAATACCACCATCAAGTCGCAAATCGGCCCCTTCCCGATAATCCTTCCACAATGGCCAATCGCTGCATTTTTCCCGTACACTAAACCCGGGACAACGTTGGCCACTGGAAGCACTACAACGATGGATATCACCCAGGCAAACAGAAGCGCAGCAAACGATACCCGCCGGGAAGAGAATGCAGCATAATGATGAGGCAGAATGATGGCGATAAAGCGGTTGAGTGCGAGTGCCGTCCACGTCCAGTTGCTGACACAAATGTTGACCAGGAGAAAGAAATATACCGGGGAACAGTAGTAGGTGAATGTGACGCGCGTCTGCGTCAAGTAAATCGGCAGTGTGGTGATGGGAATGCTGATAGCGCAGTATATGAAGTCTGTAGCGACGGAATGCAGCATCAGTACGCCTGACCCGCTTTTCCATTTCTTCAAACGGTACATTATTACTAAAAACACAATCATCAGAACAGCTGCTAAACTGGCTATGCCAAACTGTATTCCAATCCAGATATGCATTTCCGTTGCGGAAGGGGTTTCGCGCAATGGCAGTGAGCCTTTCGCAACATTCGACTGGTTTAAAGTTTTGTTGCTCATTTTTCCCGTAGAAAATAATAGCCGTGGAGACTAGAGACTTACAGACGGTCAAACTAGTACTAAGCTTGTGCAGATACTGGCAAGGTACTGCTTCGAGTGTGCCGGCATTTATATCGTACTGTTTCCAACATACCTACATAATAATACATAATTATGAAGCCGCTCTTTCAAACACCGGAAATTTTTTTGGCTGTTTGTTCATTCGCCCATGTACTAAAAAGGCTTTTTGCATCCGCTTTCGTGTGGCAATTGACAAGCATACCATTTTGTGGAAATGCCCCAACAAAGAAGCTTGATTAAACAGGATCTATATTGGTTTCATAATTTCCTTGAACATCATTATCTTGCTATATCCACTGTGATTTACTATCCTTTTTAGATTCGCGTACCTTACATTTATCATCCTAGATTTCCTAATTTCCATTCGGTCTGACCCATTAAGCAAGAGGGGCAAATGGAGACGTTTTGCACATTTTGAAGGAGAGGTCAAAAGTCACTGGCGCAAGCTTTTGAAATTATTGTACCGGAAGAAAGCAAACGTAATCGTACTCAACTCAATAGTTATACTCTAAAGCGCTCAAAATCAATCGTACTCAATAGCGCTAGTAATAGCTAGTGCTCATATCTCGCATACGGATGTACTTACTGGTGCGTACGAGTGCTGCCAGCCTGCGTGGCCGGAGAGGGGCATAGGATCCAATTTCTTTGAAAAACAATTAGATGAATATCAATTTTAAATATTGTTTAGGTCCGGTCATAACAATACGTGCGTCAAACGAAGCACTGTTTCCTAGATCATGGCTTAAAAACAAAAGTGAAACGTTAAGCCCCAGCATGACCAACAAGAGCATGCATAAAACTTATACTGTATTTGTATCGATACGAGTAGGCATAATCTGTACTTAATACGTGCTGTTGTGAAATAAATTTTATTTTTTTTTGTTTATCCGAATATGAAATCTACAGCCTTAACCTATAAAGATAAATTACGACCAATGCGTACAAAATTAATAATGTCCTTTAGTGTTGCAAACTTTACTGTACAATATTTCGGCATTTCTTAACAACCGGTCAATCCTACTACCTGACAGTACCTGTACATTTTGAGCAACCGGTCACCAGCTTCCATGTGGCATGTTACATGATGGGCTGCTGAACCCACTTGATCTAACGTGTACTATGGCAGTAAAATGAATTGTAAAAGTGATTAGTGAGAAGAACCGAGATTCTTGTATTTACATACTTCTGTAGATATTTCATCAAGCACTGTAGAACGTACAGTATACTATATTATGAATATTTTTATGATGTTAAATTAAAAGCGGAACAAAGCACGTTCCGACCTTACAGTCAGTAATTATGGATACTTACAAGTTTATAAAATCAGTGCATTGTAATTGTATTGTATTATTTGTATATAAATATAAGTACTTAAATACACCAGGTAGTAGGTAATAAGGTAGCGTGTTCCTCTTACTAAAATTGTTACTTAAACCTTTGAGCTCACTGCGCCGCTGTTTGACTGCGTGTGACGTGCAGTACATACTGTACTGTGGAACGTATCGGTAGAACTGGTTATGTGGTTTGTTTTGTCGGACTGTACATTAAAGATGTTTCTGAATACATAGCCAGCCTAGGTTCCACGATCCAGATTTTCTGAAATCTGGGATGCAAAAGCCTTCGGTTTATCGTGATCTGCGTTTCTCCTGAGATTTTTCTGTGTCGTTACTTTATTTCAATAGCGTGATAACAATATCAAAATCTAATTACGGTTAAACGAAACAGCGTTCTCTACGGTACCGATTACTGAAGCAGCATTACCACGTTGAATTGCTAAAGAGATGTTCTGTTTCAAAAACTCCAGACTACGAATTCTTGTATAAAGAAGTCTCCAGTTGTTCTTGTAGTCTCCAGATTTTTCTTGTATAAAGCGGGAATGTGCCGCAGTGGCCACCACCCAGTATGGCTGTCACTGGCTGGGCTGTCAGTCTAAATCATGCAGTTTTTACTTTTTACTGCTGCCTTGCATTCTTGCTGAATCTTGTCTTTTCTCTGTAATTTGTACTCTGTACATCGAATAAACAGTAAACTGCAAGTCAAAGTGATCGTAGTTCCCTTTTGCACGCTTTTCGGATTACGATTGCACTGAGTTATGAGTACGTTTTTTTGAAATTAAACAGCTGAATCTTTTCGAAAACGCACCATTGGAAATATGCCGTATCGTTGTTTGACGTTTGGCTGATTAATTTTATCAGTGATGTGACAGACCATCGTCTCGCTTTGACGGAGTGCCTTGATTCCGAGTTCATTCCGACTCGTTTTGTGCGAAGTGCTAACCATCCAGAATGAATTCTTTTTTCAACCTGCCCATAGTCAAAAAATTGATGGCACTGAAAAAGAGCAGCCGATCTACTTCGGAATCGGACGAGAAGTGGGAGGAGAAGGCAGTGAAGGGTCTGATGAAGAAGCTGAAACAGAAAGGCAAAGGGTTTTCTACCGTGGACGACTTGGAAAGAGCCCTGTCGTCGCAAGATAAGCACAGTCAGTGCGTCATCATTCCTCGGTGCGAGACGCTGCGTAATCTTTTGCATTTCCTCATGCTCTCTTCATCCGCTAATCGTTGTTGATGGTTGCAGCACTTTGGATGGCAGACTGCAAGTTGGCGATCGCAAAGGAATGGCTCAAGTTCTGTATTGCCGTAAGTTGTGATCAATATATTGTATGGAACTGTATTCCATTACGTGATAGCTGGTGCTTAGAGGCATCATTTAGTCAGTTGTCAGAGATTAATAATTACGGTTGTAACGATGCGATCTGTTTTGAAAATTGTTGTTAAGACTTCATGATAAGCACGTTAAACGTTCGTTTGCCGACTACTTTATCTGACATGGTTTAAGGGTTCAGTACACACTGTTAGTACCATTGTCTTGCGCGTAACATCATTGTAGATTTTTGTTGAACGTAATTTATTAGGAAATGTTGGGCTTGCAATTTACAGTTTAGTTCGAAGTACCAGATTAACCTTTTAATCTGCAGGAATTTGGCGTTGGCCAGACCTTACCAGTTACCGTCAGCTGCGATCCACCGACACTTGTTCGAACGGTTTTAGCACAAGGAAAGACGTTATTTGTGTTAATCCGTATCATTACGATCGTATTATGCCAGGTACGGCTGTTTTTCACGTTCTAATTAATGCTTTGGCTAGCGTTCTTGTCTTGAACGGAACTCAGCTTTTTTAGCCGAGGAATCGCCAGTACTGGTGTCTGAAAACCACGGAGAAGCCCTTCCTCCGCATTGTGATGTTTCAGAGCCGGGCAATGCATTGGTCAATGGTGTTCCAGTTGACGGCAACCGCCCGCTGGATTCAGGTGAGCTCTTTTTTCCGGAAGTTGATTCGCCCACGTGGACGGACGATAGTGGAATGCTGAGCGGATCTGACACGCTGACTGGTAATTGATGTTCTTATTTGTCCGTCTAGAACAACGAACAAGCGTTTGTAACTGTGTATTGGGCGCTTTACTGATTTTCCGTTTTGAATTTTTTTTTAGGAAATTTGTCGTTATTTTAAATCCGAATGATTAAGCGTTATGTTTTTATTCGCTGGTGTGTCTTTCTACTTTGTTCGAAGTACAAGTTATTTCTTTGCATAAAACGGAAGTACAATTGTATACGCGAAGAAAGTTCCTGCTGCTATTGATTTTAATAATACGCTTAACAATACAGTTTTAATTAATAAGTACCTATTGCTGTTTATACTTTATAGTATAATTTTTAATAATAATTTTGATTTTAATATCGTTTCTGTTCAACTTCACACCGTGGTTTTCGGAAACGTACATTCGCTAATGCACTGTTTCTCGCGCCAGTTTTTTGGTTTGCAGTATTAACTTTTTCCTCTTGTTTTTAATAGCCGTCGAATCATCATTCTCTGACGATGATAGCAATAGCGTGCCTTCTCCAGGAAGCAGCGGGGATACCAACAGCCACGCCCCGATGTCTCCTGACGTGGATCCTGCGGATGGGGAACCGGTCGCCTTTGTCGAACCGGCGTTTTGGTGTTCTGTGAATTATTACGAGCTGGACGCGCGCGTGGGCGAGGCCTTCCATGCCTCGCTGCCTTCGGTGACCATCGATGGTTTCACCGACCCGTCGAATGCGGAGCGCTTCTGTCTGGGCGCCTTGTCGAACATCAAGCGGGATCCCGTGGTGAAGTTCACTCGACGGTATATTGGCAAGGGTGTCCGGCTGTACACCATTGGAGGCGATGTGTACGCGGAATGTCTTGGCGAGTGCGCTGTGTTTGTACAGAGTGCGAGCTATAACCAGCGAAATGGCTTGCACCCGGCTACCGTGTGTGGAATAGCTCCAGGTAAGGAAACAATAGCAAATTTCGGAAATTTTTATAAGTTATACTCGTATTATGGAAAGTTGTCTTATCCGTTTGTAGTTTTGTTTTTCTGAAACCCTTGAAGTTGTTTTTTCTTAATTTTTTACATGCAAGGTTTTTTTAAGTTTTTTGGATCATCTGAAGTTTTTGAACATTTTTCTTATTTCACCCAATTTCTCTACAACCGATTTCCGCACGCCCTATCCATTTCGCAGGAATGTACCAGTGTATGAATTATCTTTGCAAAGAAGCTAATGCCTAGTGTTGTACCGTAATTGCACTACACTTTATATATGACGGAAAAAAGTATTAATAGGATTACTATTTATTAATTAATGGCAAGTTGTTAGTAATGAAAATTCATATTATTATACGTATTAGGAGTATGCTATTTTATGTGGGTTGATAACGGTTGTTAGCTTGATACTACATAATATGCAATCACGGGAGTGAACTCAGTGAATGTTTCCGTGCAGGATGGACTTTGAAGATCTTCAGCAATCAGGAGTTCGCTGCTGTGCTGACCCGTGCAGCGGCACAGGGCTTCGAAGCGGTATACGAACTGGCAAAGATGTGTACGATCCGAATGAGTTTCGTTAAAGGATGGGGAGATCAGTATCGGCGACAGACCGTCCATGCTTCACCATGCTGGATTGAGATTCACGTCAATGGACCGCTGCTGTGGCTGGACCAAGTTCTTAAACTGATGTACGTCTTCTTTCCGCTTGAATAAACCTGTGCGTATGCGCAGAATACACACTTTAGGAGGAATTCTTTTGCTTAATGTGATCCTGGTGATAGATTTACCATTTGCTGGTTTGTTGCAGGGACTCACCCGGAATTCCTTGTTCCAGCAACACGTAACCATTGTTATGACTTCCGTTTTTCCGATTACGATGCAAAGGAGATTAATTTGTACTTTGTATTAACGTGCGCATCTTGCCTTATTGTTCCAGAAGGTATTGGTTGTTGTTTTCATGACAGCGATAGTTTTTGTTGGCGCTTTGTATCTGTTCGTCTGGGATTTGTGTCCTTCGCCACAGTGCACGTGCTTAGGTAGCGAATATTGGTTGTTTTACAATCGTTTAGAAGGTTGTTCAGCGACAATTGTGAATTCTTATCTGGATAAGGTAGTTTTATTCCCAATCCGTAGTTCTGTGGTAATCACTGGTTTTTGTTATGGATCTAAGTGACCTTACGAACAGGGATGTTGATTGTTGTGTTGTGGCTTATTTTTCCTAATGGTTGTTTTGTTGATTGTTTCTGTTTTGTTTGTTTACTAACTGCGCGGAATCTGAATAAGTGGATCTGCTAATCATAAACGGTTTCTTTCTTTCGCATCTCCTTAGCTGGCTTAGCACCATTAGAGTCCAGAAAAATAGAGTAAACAAAATTTAGGATTGTTTATAACCGATGGGAATGCAGCGTTGGCTCATACACCCACTCCGTCAAACAAGTGGACTTCGCGTCTTCAGAAATGCAAGTACAACAATCATGATTGTGCCCCATACGACCATATACTGTACTCGTATGTATCGTACGTATTATGTATGTAATCGCTCTAAAACTTTCACCAAAAACAGCTTTGTAACGGCTCGAAAATAAGAAAAAGCCGCGTCTTGTGAGTACTTACTGATTTAGCTAATTGATTGAACTATTAACATATATACAGCGACTTCCGCGTTTTCGAGATTTTGCTAGTTTGGCGTTTGGAATGCTCACCAATCAATGTTATTCGTTCACTGCATGGCAAGAATATGACCAACAGATGCCGTATTTTCCGCCCGGTGACCGATGAATCCATGATCGGATCGACCGGATAAACCGTGTAGCAGATAAGAGGGACCGAGTACCGGCCACACCGGTCCTGGTCCGACACCCACGCGACAGCACTGTATCCAGTCCAAATTGTACTCGTTCACGTAGGGATTGATTTTCCTGGCCATTCCCGTGACAACGTGTCCCGTATCGCAAAACACCAGGAAAAACGGTGCATTGTAGTACTCGTAGTACTGATCGTGGGTCATTTTGTAGTAGCACGACAGGTAGTCGATATAGTAACCCGGGGGTGTGCGGCAGCATTTGTACAGTGTGGTGTCATCTGGTCCGCCCACGCGCTGAATGCCAAACGTCACATCGTTATCGTATAGCCCTGAAAAACCCGACAACAACATTTGTGATAGCAAATTGTTTATGCCCACTGTGCTGTGCATTTTGTATCAAAACAACAAATATGTACAGTACGCTGCGGACAGTACTTAACCATAGCGTACATGCTGATTAGAGGTTGTAATGCTACCTGTAAGAAACGAATTAACCATTCTTCTTCCTTCTCGCGGATCAAAGCAGAAGTTCTGCTTACTGAGATTCCTGGCGAAACATCTGGAAGCAAAACCGGCACAATAAACGTCCAAGCTCTACCGGCAGTTTATGATCCTCGCTTTCCAGTGAGGTGAAATTAAGTCTCTGATCATGAGATCGACCGGGAACAATACTTAATTCAGCAGACTCGCAGGTATGTACTAATAATTATCTGTACAATAATACAATACGTACTTACACAGAGTAGTAGGGATATAATCCATGTGTTGGTGGCTTGAATGGGAACATATATTTGCACCATAGCGCATTAATACGCTGCAAAAGGTCAAATGTTAATAACTTCTGAAATTTACATATTATGCGTTTCTGTACAGCAGAAGTAAGCAGCAAACTTATTTCAAAATCATTTAACGCAGTTTTCATTCTACAATACAAATAAATATTACGCTGCAAAGAAACTTTCGATAGATACGAGTAGCACGTGCAGAGACTGCAGGCCGGCTGATACAGGCACAGTAATACAGCAGGCAAGTCATTAGTCACAGCACACGTAAAAAGATATTATACGATATCAATTATCACGCATCTACAGACTACAGGCACAGCTGATACTGTACTCTAGGGTACTGTTCTACCTGGAAATCATCCTGTAGATCGCTGAAAAGAAAAAACCATGTTCGGAATGGAGAGATGCCTAATTACAATATTTTGTGAAGTATTAAATGAACCAGCACCCATAGCAAGCGATAAAAATAATACTTCCTCAAAATGCATGATATCAGTATACTTACATACATACCTAAGTACCGAATGACTGTTTTTCGTTAAGTTTATAAACTTTTCATGCGTTCTGCTTACCGAACGCCGATAAGAGCTTCACCTGAAAAACAAACAAGCACACGCGATGCACTGACTTGTAAATATCAAACAATTTAGTAATCGGATCTATTAACGAATCGGATTTATTGACGATAAAGTGTAGTAGCAAATCACAAGTATCGGACTCTTTACAGTTAACTCAAAACTTTCCATTTGCACAGTTATCTATGCACATGTAATTAATGTAAATGGTACTGGAAGAAATACATTTTGGAGCTGTTATTAATAATTCTTAGTTTTCTTACTAAAGAATAACGCTCATATTTTTAGATCGGATGAAGTATGCGGTAGTTCTGGCCAAGCGTTGCTTGCTTTACCAAGCCACTCTTCATATATCACTAACCATCCAAACATTCCACATTCCATTTTCGAAGAGGATCATTCGAGCCGCCGTGCATGTGAACTGTTTCAATAATGGTATCACCCTGAAACCAGAAAAATAATACGTAAATTTAACAGTAAATTTTAAAATAATTAAAAGTGGCACGTATGTCGCCACTGATCTATTACCGTTCCCATTGGCAAATAAGCGCCATAGTATCTTTGCAAACAGTTAGCTCCGTGTTTGAACCATCGCCACTGGATAACCATTACAACGAACCAGGCGATCTTTTTCAGCAAACAGCCCGAACTGACCATTGTCGGAAGAATGCAAATGGGATGATCTCTGTTATAATAAAACAAGGGAAGCTTTATGAGAACCTCCTTCCGCTTACGCAGATAATATTAATTTGCATCGTACGTAGTGTGAATGTACTACGCGGAGTCGCCGGTATATTTGATGGTTTCCGCTTGGTGACATTTCATTGCTCGTTAAAGATGTGTGTTATGTGGTGAGGCAGAATATTGCTCCACGAATAATTCTAACGTACGGCGTACGTGTAAAAGAGATATGCGGTTATTATACATTTGTCGCGGCACGTTTACAATAATAATCCGATCTGAGTAAGTCTGCTGCTGTCTACTGCCGCCACTAGCTGCGCTTGCTGGGGCATGACAATACGATTGTTTTTATGAGGGCGTTTACTTCACAGTTTACTGGAACTTTTCTTATTTTGCTAAAACTTCTTTATTAAGTTGCATGGAAAGTGACAAAAACATACCTTGTGAACAGTCACAACAAAAGCTTCCATTAAAACTGGGTGATAAAAATACGAGTTCGTTGCATGATGCATTACATGTTTATTACCATTTGTACAGATAGGAGAAAAATACGATATTCATCATATACCTTCAACTTGTTCACCAGTTTTGCCACAATTTTTGTTTGAAAACATAAGATGATGCAGTTAACTGAAAATCTTTAGACAGACTTTATTATTCTACCAGCAGAAGGTATTAACAGATACACTGAACAACAATCGCGTTAAATCTACTATTCGATACGAGAGCGCCAAACAGTAAATAACTTTAGAGAAAACGTCGTATTTTCACAACTGTTCCTTTGCAAAGTGATAATACAGTGATAATAAAGTGATAATAATACTTTCTGATACAGTAAGTAAAATCCATTTCACTGCCGATATTGCGAAAGTATAAATGCAGTAAACTGCCGATACTGCGAAGTTTGCCTTCTATGTCCAGCAACTTCTCAACAACCGCGCAAACGCAAAACGAAATGCACTACGCATCCATCGCTAATGTGATAATCTGAAAGCGTTCGACCATCTTCCAGCTGTTGGCCAGCGAAGATCAGTCGCTGTTGGTCAGGTGGAACTCCCTCTCGTTTCTGAATAGCAGTTTTAACATTCTCAATCGTAGACCACTGGGATATTGTAATGCGCATCGACTTTCCAATGACGGTAGTTTCGATGCCAATGGTAATCTCGTCACTTCCCTCAAACAATTCTGGGTAGAAAAATTTTCTCAGACTTGCATCCATAGAGATGTTCCAAATGGTACCGCTCAGAGGATCACGCATCGCCTTTGGTACATTATTAGCGAACAACATAATATCGCGTACAACGAAAGTGAACCCCACTAGAGCCATTTTCACACCAACTTCAAAGGTCGAGTGATAACCTTTTTCCATGCATTTCAAAGCTTCCCCAATCGGAATCTGTTGTAAATCGACACTCGGTGAACACAGACGTTCCAGCAACGCAGCCTCTGCCCACAATTTCCCCGATCGGATGTCCCACTCCGTGGACAACATCATCAAGCCGTACAGAAAAGAAGGCGCCACTTGAAACGGATTCAGAGAATAGTAGTCGGGTCGAGGATGCAGTACAGTATCCTGATTTAATGGTTCTACTAAGCCCAGTACAACCAGAACAACCTCTTTACTGACGTCCATCTCATACATGCCCACTTGTCCAAACCGTTTTTTCTCGAAGACTGTTTGTGTATTTCTGGAGATGCTGACCAAGAGTTTTCGATCCACCTTGACTGCCCACACTTCAGCGTCACATTATCGGTGCCGGAATAATCAGCTTCCACGTTGGGAAGCGCTCTTGGCGCCAAACCGGTTCGCAACTGCCGCAGTTGCTTTCGAATCAGTAGTCGCAAAGGCACACGAAGTGTGACGCAGCAGTACGCATCTCGGAAGATGCCCAGCTCGCGACAGCACCCGGAATAAGCCTGACCTTTGATGTTCTTCAGTTTGCCGTTGGTGATGGACGCCATGCTGGCATCCATGCCCGATGCGCCGATCTTAACGATCGGACTGCCTTTGGAATCCGGATTAATAAAAGCCACTTGCACAGACTTCACCGTGCAGTCAGACGGTACACGCTCCAACTGGACATCAGCGTGCTATGAAACTTTGAAGCCCTGTTCGTCAACGTCGCCGGAGGAATGTTGCTGCGTGGTGTCAACTTGCCTCCAACTGAAAAACCATGCAGCATTGGATAGGATATGCATGCTAATCAGAACGACGCCTTTCAATGACGTACCACAAGCGTCATACTGCAGTGGACGTAAGTCACGCAGCAAACTAATCACAGCATGGCCAAAAGCGTGAAATCGGTTATACGCAGTTGACAATCCTGCGTGTGAATCAATACGGAACGACGGCTTAACCTTTCAGCTTTTAGGTGCTGTTGAGAGTTATATTCCGCTGGCCTGGTTGGGATTGATTTGTACAGTTCTGTATATTGTTTTCACACACATAAACAATAAACAGATATCGACCAGACGTACCGCGAAACGATTACGTATTCTAGTCGGACGCTAAATATTCTCCAAGCTCGAATGTGTATTGCGATTTGCGAAAGCGTACGTAAGTTTTGTCTTAAGTATGGTGCCGTGCCTGCAAAGCATAGCATGCTATCTGTATGTACCCCGGCTCATTCTGATTTCTGTCAACGTTTATTCCGGTTTGGTGGAGTGGTCATTGGTCACTGGTGGTGTGCGACTGATGCTATATTCGAGGACAGCTCAAATTCGGGTGTTTACCGTAACCCCAGTAGGTTAGCGTAGTGATTTAAAGAAACCGGCATGTCGAGCCTGTAATGTAGCTGTTAATTTCTGTTCCTACCAGCTAGGGTGGTTTCTCCCTTCGGTGTAAACAAGCAACACGCAAAGCGCTCCGTAGATGCTTTTCAGAATTTCTGCAGTTTTTCACGCAACTTATCGACTTCCGAAAGTGCATACGAGTACAACAAGTCAAAGTCTAAAGTAGATGGCACATTTTTCCCTGAGAGTGGACCAGACCGCGCTCTCCTGTAAGCGTACAGATACTGCAAGGATATCATCGCCAACCTATTCTTATAATAGCAAAAATTGTGCACGCATAGATCGAACTAATTAGTAATTAGCCTTCTTGTCTAAAATTATGTATTAGAAGTTTTGACTGTTGTGCCCGAACGAAAGGGTAGTGTAGAAAGTTCGGATTTTACTTGTGAACCGAGTAAATGACGGTCGTAAGGAAAGCTGTTGAAGGAGGGGTCACCTTCATTAGTTCACATATCACAACAGAAGTCAAGTCTTCAACGTAAAATACTAACATATCGGACTCAAATTAAGAGATATCCGCGCAAAAAAAATTATTTTGATAGCCATGTCACGTTTATACGAGTACTGCAAGAGTACACAATGGGCACATTGTAGGAAACGTAAAAGAAAAAGCCATATTTTACAAACATTCCTTCGAAAATTGACGAAGCATTAGAATGCTATTATAAACTGAAATAGCGCGACAAAAGCAAAAGCGAGTCCAGGTAAACTCTGATAGTGTGAAGCCGGTATTCTATGGCTGCCCGCTGCTCCTGCTTCTTAACAACCGCGTAAGCGCAAGACAAGATACAGGATAGCTCCATCGCCAATACCGTAATCGGCGAGCGTTCTGCCGTGTTCTAGCTGTTTGCCAGCAAAGATTAACCGCTGTTGGTCCACTGGTACTTCCTCTTGCTTTTCTATAGTAGCCTTCACATTCTCGATCGTAGACGACGGGAACGTTTTGATGCGTATAAATTTTTCGGCCAAACTAATGACGCCAACTGTCATAGCGTTACTTCCGGCTAACGATTCCGCTGTCTGGAAGAAGTTTTTCAGATTTGAGTCATGGGAGACAGTGAAAATGACCATGTCCAGAGAACAGCGTATTGAATGCGGTACATTCCCCGCAGGAATCATATCTCGCAGAACGAACGTAAATCCCACTAAAGCCATTTTCATCCCGATCTGGTCCTTGTTTGACTCGTAGCCTTTTTTGATACATTTCAAAGCTTCCACGGCAGAAATCTGCTGCAGGTCGGCACTCGGTGAACACAGACGTTCCAAAAACAAAATCTGTGCCCACAATTTTGCCTTTGGGACATTCCACTCCGTGGACAACATCATCAACCCATAAAGGAACGAAGGCGCAACTTGAAACGGATCCAGTGAATAGTAATCGGGATATGGGTATTCCGATCTGCCGGTTCCACCAGACCCAGGACAGCCATCACAACGTCCTTACTTACATCCATCTCGTACACACTCACTTGTCCAAACCTCTTTTTCCCAAAAATTGCTTCTGTTTCTTTAGAGATGTTGACCAAGAGATGCCGGTACACCTTGACACTGGACTGTCCACACTTCAGGATTACTTTGTCATTACCGTCATAGTTGCCTTCTCCAGTCGGAAGCGCATGTGGCGCCAAATCAGACCGCAACGGCTGCAGTTGTTTACGAATCAAAAGTCGCAAGGGCACGCGGAGAGTTACGTAGCAATACGCTTCTCGAAAGATACCCAGTTCACGGCAGCATTCGGAATATGTCTGACCTTTGATGTTCTTCAGCTTATAGTTGATAAAGGAAGCACTGCTGGCATTATTACCCGATGCTCCGATTTTGACGATTGGACTGCCTTTGGAATCTGGATTAATAAAAGCCACTTTCACAGCCTCCACCGTGCATCCAGACGGAACACGCTCCAACTGGATATTGGCGTGCCATGAAACTTCGAAGCCCTGCTTGTCATTGTCGCCCGAGGAATGTTTCTGAATTGTGGCAGATTTCCGCCCAACTAAAACAACATGCAAAATGCATAGCAAGGCTATACGCAAACGGAACTGCCCGAACAATACGTACTAATCAAACCGCTGTGTATTAAAGATTGGAGGCTTATGGTGAAGATTTACATTTGTAGTGAAGCACTTGAACTAGCGTATTTCTAGTTCTACACTATTATGGCCTCACGAGATTTCCTGACGCCATACATTACAACTATTTTGCCTAAAGCACAGTTTAAGCCAATTGTACCTACAATATGCTTCAAGGGTCACACCGCTCTCCATCCATACAGGCAATGGCAGAACCTTCTCCCCAGTAACCAATCTCACACGCTGCAACTTTCCCATCCCGTAATCGTTCATCTGCATGCTCTTAATATCCGCGATTTCCTTGGCGAACGTGTACACGACGCAGCAAGTGATAAGGGCATCGTGCGTCTTTTCCACATCGGTAATCTGCTTCTGACAGTTCTTCAACATTTCCAGAAACGGCTCTTCCATGGCAGCTACTCTATCCACAAATCGGAAGTTCTGCTGTTTCGTTCCGTGAAGCCGGTGTTTGGGCATTTTGATGGTTATTCGCGTGTTAGTCAGTCCAGAAAAACTGTTAGGTATACCCACTATTCTGCAACAATGATTACTGTTGTTACTGAAAGGTAAAGGATCGTATCAAACATTTGTTGAAACTAATTACTGCTTACAAGTGAATTTCTCTGTTTACCAGAGAAGTGTTTACCCGAAAAGAGTTCTCTGTTTATCAGAGAAGTTCTGCTAAGATGATAAAAATCATGCGATGATTTGAACAAAAACAATAAAATGGGCAAAAGGTTCCGCTCGACAAGTAGAACAAACTATTACAGTTGGCAAAGGAGCAACATAAGGAAATCCAATCGTCCTCGTTTAAGGATCAACAAAATTATAATTATGATGATCGACTGTAAAAGGCAAACCGCGGAGACTGTAGTCACGAGACTCACGACTCACGAGACACTTTATATGCCGTCCAATCCCAGGCACGGCAAAGCTCAAAGGGCAGCCGTTTGTACATGTAGTGAAAATGCCGCTGCTCCGTTCACGCCTACCGACCCGGAACAACACATGCCGGTTAAACAATACGCGGAAAGCACTGTCACAGAGACTGGTAATACATAGAGAGGACACACAATACTTTGCAAGTGATTCAGTTCTCCGTGCAGATTAAGACCCCCTGTCGTTGGCCTACCATCCACGAACGGCGGTTGTATCTCAAAATGTGCTCGAATACAGCCAATCCATGCAGCAAAACAAGACTGTGCGGATTGGTTGCATTTGGATAACCAACCACAATTGCGCATTAACATAAATACAGCCAATCCGCATGGCCAAAAAGTGGCACTTCTGCCAATGATATTTGTGTTCGAAGCGGGGGTCTTAAGCTGAACGGCACAGCGGAACGCTGCATTACATGCGATTCGATTGACATGGCCTCTCTGTGTATTAAGTACCAGTCTCTGTGGCACTGTACTGCCTGTACTGTACATAAACCAACAACTCCAGGTTTTCAAACTGTATGACCAACGGATGCCGCACTTTTCTTCCTAACACTCACAAAATTATATTAATAGTTTAATACATGGTCGAAATTTTATTACAATCGACCACTTAAACCAAGAAGCAGGTGATAGGGACTGAGCACCGGCCACACCGGTCCCGATCCGACGCGCAAGCGTTAGTACGGTACATACTCGTACTACATTCAATCCACATTCAATTTTCTTGAATCTTCCAGACAACGTATCCCGTATCGCAGTCGTATCCCATATCGCAAATCAAACACCAGAAAACGTGCAAAATACGTTGTAGTACCCGTGATACTGATCGTGGTTCATCTTGTAGTAGAAGTAATACAGATAGTCGATACAGTAGCCCGGTAATGTGCGGTAGAATTTTTATGAAATGGCGGTCCACTATCGTACGCTGAATCACAAAGGTCACATCGCTCTCGTGTTACGTGTACCGCTGAGAATCCGACAAGGTTTGCGTTAAAAGTCGGAAGTTCCAGTATTATTCGCACTCCTAGGCTGCAGATTTCATATCAGAACTACAAGTGCATCAGTTACCTGCAGGCACCTTCATAGCAGAACTACTGTATTTACCGTATGTGCGATGTCGTCGGGTCGATAGTGTTAACAGTTAATCCCAAAGGCTATTGGACCTAGTCCTCGGTATTAACGAAACGATACCCCCTTCCATTCGGTAACGACGACGGATGTTGCCCTTTGAAGGGGTCCCATTCACAGTAAACGTTCGTCAATCGTATGCCGCAGAGCCGTCGCGAGGGGGGGCCCGCTGGCCCCCCCTCCTCCCGGAGGGAGAAATCGGAAAAATGGTGCGCCGGGAGCTGGCGTAACTGACGCTGGCGCGAAAAAATGGAACTGGCGCTGGCGCACCGAAAATTACAATAGAAAAGCGTAGAAAAGTGGCTTTTTTGAGCCACTTTTCTACAATTGTTTTCAATTTTTGAGCTATTTTGGAACTGGCGCCCCCCCCCCCCCACGCAACCTGATTAATAACCATGTATAGTACTCGTACAAACGAAAGCAACGAAAAATTCCTAACATACGAGTATTACCAAAAAGAGAACCGCATAGGAAACGAATTACCCATTTCAACTTCCTTCAGCATACTTATAAACTTTATATATTTTTAAACTACAATATTCATACCCACAAAACACATCATCAATTGCAAAACCTTTACTCAAAACCGAAGTAGCTGGTTATAGTCGTCAAAAGGAAGGATCTAAATAAACACCATATTGCTTTAGCAAATTATCCCCAAGGGCAGTTATGCACCATAGCGTAAACTCGTACAGCAATCTCCTTCAAGCACGAACATACAGAGTAAAGAAACAAATAAAGAAATAAGGAAAGAAACGATGTACAGACAGTAGGCACTTATTCCACTGAATCCATCATATCTGCGCTCATTCATATTTTAAAATACGTCTAACAAAGTCAGAGCAACTTCTTATTTCAACTTCTAATGGTAAGACTCCGTTAGTCGTATTAAAGGGTAAAAACGCGAATAAGGACAATGAGCGTTTCGAAGAGCCGACACGCCTATTTTAACAACCGGTTATACGCAATACACCGTGCAACATAGCTCCATCGGGGATGGCATAATCGGAAAGTGTTCGACCGTCTTCCAGCTGTTTCCCACTAAACATTACCCGCTGTTGATCTACGGGGACTCCCTCAATCTCCTGATATGCCGCCTTCACATTCTCAATTGTATCTTCCTTGGACACTGCCATGCAAGTGTGCTTTCCCGTCAGACTAATGATGGTGATCGTCATACGTCCGGTCATATCTACGATGTACTTATGACAGCTGGTATTACGCTGATAGCTGCGCTGAGCCTCTTCTTCATCGCTTTCCGCGCTGGATTCGACGAATTTCATCGGCGCTGTATCCTTTACGATCGCGGTAATGATTCGCTGCAGAGAAATTCGTATCGGCGTTGGCACATGACCGGCACCAAGCATATCGCGCAGCACGAAAGCAAACCCAACAACCACCATTTCCGCGCCACAATAATTTCGACCTACGTCATAATCCTTTTTAACACATTCCAGAGCGTCCACAATTGGCACCTGTTCCAGATCAAAACCCGGTGCACAGAGACGCTCCAACAACGCCAACTGCGTCCAAAGTTTAGATCGAGCATTCCAGTCCGTTGATAGCGTCATTAAATCATACAGGAAGGCCGGCGTAGTTGTGTCCGGATCCAGAGAATGATAATCTGTTTGCGCCTCTACCGACCCGAGCACAGCCAGAATAACCTCCTTGCTGACACCCATTTTACACACACTCACTTCGATAGACTTTTTCTTGCCAAACACCGATTCCATTTCTTCGGAGATGTTGATCAGGATTTCCCGATCTACAGTGATACTAGACTGTCCGCACTTCAGGGTCACATTATCTTTACCGGAATAATTTTTCTGAACGCTCGCAGAGGGGACGATGGGCAAACCGCTACGCAGTTGCTGCAGTTGTTCGCGTATTAAGAGTCGCAGAGGCACACGAAGAGTGATATAGCAGAACGCCTGTCGGAAGATGCCCAATCCACGACAACACTCGGAATACGTCTGCCCTTTAATATTCATCAGCTTGTCATTGACCACGTACAGATTTCCGGCATCCTGGGCCGATACGTTGATCTTGACGACAGGACTGCCGTCGGCATCCGGATTGATGAACGACAGCTGAACAGACTCCAACACACAACCCAACGGAACGCTTTCCAGTCGAACGTGGGCGGTCCATGGAACCTCGAAGCCCTTTTTGCTGCTGTCACCGGAGGAATGCTTCCGTTTGGTACCGACCTTCTCACCAACTGAAAACAACACAAAAGTCTCAATTCGAATACGGTGACAAAACAGCTCTTTCTTCAATCCAGCAAGGTATGAACGAATATGAGGGATCAACCATAGGCATACATAACAATGAGCAGCTGCAACTAAATCAGTAAACTGCTGCTGTATGCGAGAAAACGTAAAACAAAGAATACGCAAATTCCTCCAACTACTCGTATCCATTTGAATGTAAGAGAACTATTCATCATTAAGATCGTTTAAAATTAATACAGAAAAGAAGCACCATACTCGTATTCCCACTTACGCACTGCAAGTGACTACAAATATTGGTAAGTACACCGTCGACTTACAGTTTGCGCGAAGATCTACTCTGCTCTCCATCCATTCAGGCAACGGCAGAATTTTCTCCCCAGTAACCAGTCGCACACGCTCCAACTTGCCCATGCCGTAATCATTGATCTGGATACTCGAGAGATCTTTGATGTCTTTCGCAAAAGTATAAACCGCGCAGCAAGTGATGACAGCACCCTGCGTCTTCCCGGATTCCGAAATCTGCTTGCGACAATTCTTCAACATGTCCACGAACTGATCTTCCGTATCAGCCACTCTGTCCACGAAACAGAAATTAGGCGTAGCGCCTCGGGGAAGAGCGTCACCCATTTTAGTCGAGGCACTCCCGACTACTCTCTGCGAAATGACTTGCAAGTGTTTGTCGCTCGAAACCTTCAGTGGTGCAAACTGGCAACCTTCTTCACGAAACTGATGATCGACAGCAGCAATCTGAATAATGGGTACAAGGCAAACGCCATCTCTTTCCCCTCCCTTTAGTACCGTTTATCTCTTTCCCCGGCTGCATCGCTGCCGTGTGTGAGCGCACACGTGAAGCTTTGATTCAGCCTTTTCATAGGCGGCACAGCGCTCTTATCTGTGCACAGGATCAGTTGCGTAATCTGCCGCAGCCGCAAAACCGGTTTGGATGTGAAATAGCTGAATGAAATGTGTCACGTGTGCGCTCACACACGGCAGCGATGCAGCCGGGGAAAGAGATAAACGGTACTAAAGAGAGGGGAAAGAGATGCCGCTTGCCTTGTACTACATGTAGTTTAGGTTTTTGGTAAGTAACAATATCCAGCGACAACTGGAGTAGATACAGTAAGTAATGCCACTTTATAGTTTATACAATACAAAACGAATGAACAGAACTGTTACCGACTTACCGGTACTATCGTAAAAAATCTGTCGGGAATCTGTCCCTCGTACGAGAAAAATATGAGTAATATAAAAAATTATTCAAGTCAAGAATCCCCAGCAAGTGTGAAGGAAGTCGCCGTCACGGAAAGGATGTGCTGTATCATGTACAATAATATAAGAAAAGTGATTAATAATTATTAGAAAGTGAGTATTACAAAGTGATTAATAGAAAGTACAAGATTAATATGAGCAAAGTTATTAATATAATACTCATATTATTCACTCTGATATGAGTGTCCAGATTTGTTTAAATAAAAAAATAAGTAAAGGTTTGTACAAATTTACATCAGTCTGTGGATTTTAAATGTTTGTGAATTCTTTGTAAAATGAAACTAGTGTATTGTTTGCTCGTATTGTTTGCTGTATTTGAATATCCCGTATATCAGCAAACGTTCAAATGTATAACATGTAGAATATCTATATAATATGGAAAATGTTAAATGCGTACTGTTATTATTAAATGTGAAGCATATTATGGGAAAATTAAATAATGCAGTTAAAAACGATTTTATTTTTCATTTGCCCTGTGCTCGGAACGTTCACATACTCTGTACGTTGGAAATATGACAACTTAGCGGCTGGCGCGTGTGAATTAATACAGATCAACGACTTTTAAGCTTTTACATTCCACTGCCGTTGCTAAAATCGATTTGCACAAACAACTGTCAACTATTTTCATAAAAAATTGACCAAGTTATCAAGTGTACCCCAAGAGCTCGGAACGTCTAAGTGCTCGGAACGCTTTAGTACTCGGAACGTTTTAGTACTCGGAACGTGCTCGGAACAATGATGCTAGACATCAGGGCGAAAAAACGCTTGCCAAAAACGAATGCGTAATGCGAAAGCGTTAGCTTTATCGCTTGTATTTATTCTATAGATGTTACTATAAAGAATAGAGGATTATTTAGGTACAGTGACTTCTGCCGACACAAACTAATACAAATCTGATACTCCCAAGTTTTAACTCATGTTTAACTGTCATCCAGCATTCTAACTATTTCATAAACGGTGTAATAAGATACATCATTAGAAAAAAGGCTGAACAGTCGCCAAAAAGAGATATCCAAAGAAATACCAAAACGGACAGTGGTCACCGCAGCTGTACACCAGCTCCATTTAAGTACGGACCCAGATGTACTGTATAAAAACGTAACGAACTAAACGAGCTATAGCATTCTACAATGCGGCTCCTAATAAAGAACATTAAACAGCAACAAATAAGTGCTTCCATTACCGCGGCATACTAACATAGTACGATACAGCACTCGCATTTTACCGATATAAACCACGATAGAACAACTCGACACGTCCATCTCAACAACCTCTCAGATTCATAATACAGTGTATGACAGCACCATGGGAAATGTCGCAATCGGAAAGCGTTTGCCAGTTTTCCAGCTGTTGTCCACCGAATATCAGACCTTGTTGGTCCACGGGCATTCCCGCTCGCATCTGGAATGCAGCCTTCAAATTTTCAACTGTATCCCCCGTGGTTACCTCAAGCACAGTTCGAGTTCCCGTCAAAGTTACAATGGTAACTGTGATATCCTGCTGCTCGTTTTCAAGGTTTTTCGAGGGTTCAGTCAGCTCTGTATCCGTTAAGATTGCCGCAACACTGCGCTCCAGATGAAAACGTGTCGGTCCTAACACACGATCCGCAGACATCATAATATCCCGCAGCACCATAGCATATCCCAGAGCGACCATTTTCGCGCCCACTTCATTTTTCGCTATCTCATAATCTTTTTTCAGACATTCCACAGCGGCCAAAACCGGCACCTGTTGCAAATCCAAACCTGGTGCACACAGACACTCTAAAAACGCTAACTGGGTCCAGCGCTTCGATCGCACGCCCCAGTCCGTCGACAGCGTCAGCAGTTCATACAGAAAGTCCAGTGTGATTTTGTATGGATCCAGAGGGTAGTAGTCAGTTCGTGCATCCCGTACGCCGAGCACAGCCAGAACAACTTCCTTGCTGACACCCATGGAACACACGCTCATGGATCCATACGTTCTCGGACCAAAAAATGATTTTGCTTCCTTAGAGATGTTGGTCAAGACATCTCTCTCCACAGTGATACTCGATTCTCCGCACTCCAGTGTGACGTTATCGTGCCCGGAGTAATCTTTCTGCACGGCATTTGCTGGGGCAACCGGAAAACCGTTCCGCAGGTGTTTCAGTTGTTCGCGTATCAAGAGTCGCAGAGGCACACGAAGAGTGATGTAGCAGAACGCCTGTCGGAAGATGCCCAATCCACGACAACACTCGGAGTACGTTTGTCCTTTAATATTCATCAGCTTGTCGTTGATCAAATACAAATTACAGGCATCTTGGGCCGGCACGTCGATCTTAACGACTGGACTGCCTGCCGCATCCGGATTGATGAACGACAACTGAACAGACTCCAATATACACCCCAGCGGAATACTTTCCAATCGGATATGGGCAGTCCAGGGAACCTCGAAGCCCTTTTTGCTGGCATCGCCGGAGGAATGTTTTCGCTTGGTGCCGACCTTCTCACCAACTGAAAAAAATAAGCACACAACCGATCTGTTAGCTCGGCGAGACATGCATTAAAAATCGACTCTGTGTACAGTACACAATACGCACCACGACGCACGATGGGCAGATTACTGTAATCAGTACCGAAACCGATGCGAAAGTGTTAGCTGCTAACGCTAACAATCGGCACCCAAAAGCCAGTTGAATCTTAACAATAGTCCCTTAAGCAAAACGAAATTCTTCACCCTTAAAACCAAAATACTTACCCGTTAAAGTCCGAATTTACAATCAGTTATGAATTACTGCGGAAGCTCGATACATATTATATTCGGTTAAATACTGTTACAGGTGCCTTATTCCTCATTACAGCTGCTGCATTTGTTAATAATACCATTCAAATTAAAAAATAACATTCATTAGTCTGATAATTACTCTGAGTCTCTGATAATCTGGTTTCAAGTTGCTGTACTGTAGATGCCTTTGAAACTCATCACCACGCATGGTCAGACTTACAGTTTGCTCGAAGACCCACTCCGCTCTCCATCCACCCAGGCAACGGTAGAATTTCCTCGCCAGTCCCCAATCTCGCACGCTCCAGCTTTCCCATTCCATAATCGTTCGCTTCCACACTCGAGATATCCTTGATGTCCTTGGAAAACGTATACACTGCGCAACAGGTGATCAAAGCACCCTGCTTCTTCCCCGATTCCGATATCTGCTTACGGCAGTTGTTGAACAAGTTCATGAACTGATCTTCGGTGGCAGCCACTTTGTCCATGAAGGACAAAATACGCCTAGCACCTCGGGGAGTGATGTCACCCATTTCAGTAACCGTCGTATTCCCGACTGCTTTCTACGAAATCATTAGAAAAAATGCGATTACAGAATTTATTAGAAGTGTTGTTGGATGCACGGTATGAATCGACAATCGACATCGAGAAGTTTTGCGCAAACGAACATGTGAAGGTGACCGCCGCTTCATACAGGACGTAGAGTGGTCAGACAGCTGCCAAATTAAGTACAGAGTAAGTACTTACCACAAGTAGAAGTGTGCAATTTATATTTTGGCAGTAATCAACTCGTTCTTTGTAATTTATTATTTTGTAAATTGTAATTTTGCGTAATCTGACTTCGTTCCTTACAACTTTAACGTTAAAAAGAAGTGTTTTAATAAAGAAGTGCATTTTAAGAGAGGTTTTACTGTACTCTCAAATAAAAACTGTGTCCGCAGGTTTAAAAATGCAAGCAATACTCGTAACATTATTATGGACTTTTTGGTAGTAGGAATGCATTTTTCGTTTTCGTACAGAAGCAAATGATATGGTCGCAAGAATTTAGCGTAAGTAGCTGTACATACAAGTATATACTTAAACTACTCAACAGAAAATATAGTCCGCTAAAATCCCTGACCGTTAAGCGCCATGAGCTGCTTCCCACCGCTTCACCCCGTGCGGCCAGACAGTATTTTTTTCCATCCAGATAATTCGATGGGAAAGCCGAAATTGTCCAGTAAATGTTAGCCACTTTGTACGAAGGCAGCATGCTGCGTGCCACCGATAACAATAAATATGATAGCGCACACCGTACAGTAAGCCAGGTTGGTATAGCGTGGGGTGTGTCAGGATTACACCAAATGGATTGATATAATATATCTGTAAGCTAACAATCGTGCTACCGCGAATGCAATCAACGTCCTGAAAATACCGTAACGATTTATCCCACGCATTCAAAAAAACGGCTTTTTGACATTTGGTTTACACATTACAGATATCCTGAAGTGCTGTGGGCTATGCATTAAGGGATCAAATCCCAAAGGTCACAAGTACAGTAGAACTTATGGCTTACGTACCAATCGCATATTTCCATGCATATGTCGCGCAGGTAGTTAACTATCTTCGTCATCACCAAAAACTCCACGGCATAACGAATGTCCACCCAGCTCCAGATCACCATATAGTGGATGAGGATTTTCCAAACATATGTTGGGAAATTAACGCACCTGAGAATGCACAAAATGATTTTTGTGCCCATTCAATTAGTAGCTGTTATTGCGCAGTTAATACGGTATCTTATAGCGCTATCAAGGCGGCGGCATTGATATATCTGTAGTATTGTATATTAGTAGTCATGTGCACATTGGTGCTGGCACTTATGCACCATGTAGTCAGTGTTATTACTCGCCATTGATTCGCTGGCGATCCAGTCGCCGGAAATGCTGTAATCCGGTGTTTTATTCATTGCGATATTCGTGGATGACCTATGCGCTTAAAATAACTGCAGTAATTCTTGCAATGACAGTTCAGAATATAGTATATATCTATATTATACACAGTAAGATGGCTGTACAGCAGTCAGCATAATGTGCATTCTTTTATGTGATGCAAGTTTGTATTTTGAATGAAGATAAACACATAACAGCTGGTGGAGTCATATCCGTTTATGCCAGCAAACCCCGGTTTTTAAACTAAGTAACTGTTGCCACTTGCCACATTGAAGTACTAGTGGAGTACTAGTGAAGTACTAGTGCACTATTAGTTCGTCTTGTTAATCGATAACTGTTAATCGTTTTGTGCATTCTGTTGAATTATCAATCGTAAAGATAATATATGTACGTCACGAATGAACCCAGTTACCCAGACGCTAGTAGACGAATCGTACTGCAAAGATGCACGTACGGATATTTCAATTGTACCATAATCTAAATTTACAAAATGCAGTAGTCATCGTATGTAAAGTGGTGCACGTATTTTGACATATTTTAAAATGATATCTCGTATCGTAATCAACGTTAACTGGTATAAACTACAGAGTAGCGTTTTGTGGCTGAACTGAATGACTCAAATCTGGCGAAAACGGACGTGGAAAAATCATGGTTGAGAACAATGTGACGATTGCTTTGCATAAAATTTCGTAGCGGATTAGCACCAATCTTTTTTTTCTTGAACAGATGTACAGTACAACATTTCCTGCGCTAAGTAATTTTCGAACGTTATTAGAAAGTCTTGACATTACTGTGCACATGAATCCATGCAGCCATTCAGAACGCGTCTGTTCAGATTATTGAGTGACCTTTTACAGATGTTTATCTCCTTTGGGAAGTTCGTTTTATTGCTACTGGTAAACAGCATCCTTACTTGCGCCATTCGCAGAGAACACCGCGCCACACAGGCCCTTTTGCGCTCCGACCGCGATCAAACCCGCGACTCTCGAGAGTCGCGGGTTTGATCACGGTTTGAGCGGCTTATTGCGAGCTCGCAATAAGAACACCATCGCCAATCATATTCTGCTGTTTGGGACCGCCGCTTTCTACGTTGTCACGCAAACTTCCAGTCTGCTGCTTTACGGTCTAGCGCTGGCTCAGAACTTTGGGCTGCGTGTTGAGATTTCACCGGCCATCGCGGCAATTTTACCGCTGTGTAATGTCCTAGTGACGGCGAATTGACACAATTCCTCTCCACCCCCTGTGACGTAGCTCACACGTGCTGGCGTGTAGACCATGTTAACTGTCATAGCAAATCCACACGCCAAGCCAAACCACGTGTTACAAGACCAATCAGGATTGTTGGTCCAACCTTTGGAATAGAGTCAATTATTCGCTGAACTTCTTCGTATAACTGGCGGTCAGCGAGGAGTACCGACAACAAGTTCACATGATGCTGACCACAACATGTGGAAGGGTTGCATCACAGTCTAGCAAAAGGTTTGCTAGTCGCATTGTATCGCTTTCCACGGCGACAACGGCAACGGTCGGCGATCGACCCGCAATTCTGTCCATGTCCAACCATGATTAACCGGCATGCATACGTAAAGGTCACAATCAAGAAGCATTTTTTATTTTAATCAACCTCAGTGCACATTGTACAATATATCGTACACACATAATTATAGATAAGAGTACTTGTACATCTGTGCATACTTCTCGTAATGACACTCAAAACAAACGTTTGGTTGGAGCCCTTATTTACTATTTCTCCCACTCTATTCTGCATTCTCCCATAAAGTTGTGAGATTTGTAAATGTAACATGAGATTTGTAAATTTAACCGTGTTTTTATTAAAGTTAACTATTTTCATATTATTTGTTTTCATTAAAGTTAAGTAACCGTGTTTGTGAGGGCGGTTTATGGTTATATGTCGCACTGCATCGGCCTCGTTGCACGACGAGAATCACAATTAACGGCCACGATAGCGTCCCATGTAAGTCTGAATTCTATGTTCAAACAGGAACTGGCATGGATGTGTAAAGGTCTACCACACTCCTGCAAAGCAATCCCCTTAATTTCAATCTGTTGTGTCTAATAAATTATATTTTTATTAGCACATGTGCGTTACTTGCGCATTCTGTACCCAGTCTTTACTCGCCAGTCATCGGCTTAAGGAACCCTTGGGGGGCATAGTTCTGCATAAATGTTGCCGGGTTCTAATAGCAATAAACTGTACATGTAGAGCGTGATTATTATACATCGTACATGTAGAGTACTTACAGTACATTGTTGTTGCTTTATGCGCGAAATTGATTTAACGCGGAACAAATAATATTCCTAATCGAAAATTGCTTTACTTTTTGTATTACCAGTACTTGTATACACAGTACAGCCAAACAGGTACAATAACTAATCATGGGCTAATAAAAGGCACACAAAATGCAATAAAAATGATCTGCAAGTGCACTTCAACAAAGACTTCTGCGGTCGTTTCTCTAAACGGTATTTCTCATTTATGCTAACACGCCGTGTCAACATATCACTGACATTCTGACAAAAAACCGAGCATGGACCAGCAAAAGTGGGTACTGATTGCGGCCTTTACCGTAGCAACAACTGTCAAATGTCCATTTCCTCATGCTGCAGTCTGACTCTGCACTCTGCACTACGTAGTACTGTACGTAGTCCCGATCATGTGCGTGTGTGACTGAGAAGATGATAACATTTATTACTTTTTTCTTTTTACTGTTTTACTCGTACTCCTCTGTACTCAAGCCGTCAAACGTTGCATTAACAAGGTTATAATTATTGTGTACTTGTATTTGTGTACAGCCATTCACATAGGGAATTTCGAGGTACTGCAAATCCAGCTGGACATCGTCCAGAAATTCTATGCATGTAGCTAAAAGGATCTATAACTTTCATCAGGGCCAGCTGTCGCTGATGATCCCTCCCGAAAGTGGAAGATGTCTCGACGGCCTCGGGAGGAAACAGGGCATTCCACTGGGCGTTGAACGTACAGTACACCGCGTTAGCTAATACCGACCACGGTGTCCACGCCTACTCTAGAGCTGGCATCCCGCGGAATGAGGTCATTAATTTTCCCACCGGTATGCTCTTCGATCCGCTCTTAATGTGGTACCGTAAAGCGGTTCTTTGAAATCAGAAAAATTTCTTGCATCAACCGAAATGTCCAGAAATTTTTCCCAACGGTCGAAATGCTCCGCAGTCCGCACAGACTTTATATCGGTCAAGACCAACTGTGTGGTAACTGCAGCTGTATTTGTAGTTTTGTACGCATCGACCAAAACGTTCGGAGACGAAATTTCCATAAAGCCGGTAATTCCTGCAGGGAAACGCAAAAAACAACTCCGTTTTTTGGGTTTCCCTGCGCCTTGCGCCAGACCCTTTGGAGGCCCCGAACGTATTGGACCGTTCAAGGAATTTTTTAGCGGATCGGACATTAGGATGTCTGGATGCTATGGATGGCTGCACGCACCAGGCCGTAGACGGGATACCAGAGCATTGCAGTGTAACGCACTACCCAAGTGATTTCTTGGAGACCGACAATTATCAGTAGGTATGTAAATTTGATTTATGTGTACCGGAAACTGCTGGAAAATAAATTGCTAAAGGCTGTTGTGGGAGTGGGCACTCATATAGTGCGCCAAAATATTGTAACGCAGTGGGCGGCAAATTAGCAAAAAGGCTATTTAACCCACAATAGTGCGGTATACCGTATAACAGCTAATAATTAATACTTGAGTAAAATGGCTTTTAATACTGCAAATATATATACTGCGGCAAAATATTACAGTAGTACATAACCACTTCGATTTACACTGTACTAAGCGTAAATTAAGATAAGCGATATTTTATATCTAAGCGTAAAATTAAATTAATGAGTGAGTTTAAAGAGCACGAGGTCGAAGAACCGGTGCTTGTCTACGGTACTTACGTACGTATAAAGCAGTATGAACCGGTCCACATCCGTGTCGGCAGTGGCACCGTGCGCTACGGGACTACGACGCGTACGTACTCCTCGTACTGCCGAATGGCTAGGATTAGTCATATAGCGCCATTCATCGTTTGAAAGTGGAATTTCCCGCTCATCTGTTCTACGTCCTTTTTCGGACGATAATCCACACTTGAAATTAATGTGATCCTGGAGGAATTTGAATGTGAAATCAGTGGCGGCAAATCACTGAAATTTTATGACTTGCAATTATTCAAACCGCGTGGAAATACTACAAAGTATTCAGTTTTGATTTTCACAGTTTTTAAACGCTCTTCTACAATACGTTATACGTGTGAGTGTTTGCGTCTGCATCTTTGTAAATCTGGTCTGCATTCTGAGAGTGAAGCAGAAGCTCCTACGTCCTTCTTGCTGGAATCCCATAGATTCGTCATTCAGCCATTTCGTTGCGTGCTGCTTCCAACTTTCCATTTTATTTTGGATGAAATCTGATTAGAGATTTCCGCAATTTGAATCCACATTTTATTGTGATCTATCTCTATAAATAATCACATCAAATCATGGAAAACTCTGCCGTCAGCCATAAAGAAGCGCGAAAGAATCGTCGAGCTTCAGTTGAGAAGCCTTCCTTCGAGCGCCGTTCATCAGTTTCGGGCAGCGACGAAGAATTTCAAGCAGACATCAAGGCGCCGGGAGACCTGCCGCTGCCCGAATCCATGCTGGGCCATGAGCGAGTCCATACCGAGATTACACCGTTGGAGGAAAGCAAGAAGATCGTCGATGAAGAGTTCGAGAAGCTGGAGAAGGAAAAAGGCCCCAAAACCTGGGCGGACGTCGTGGCGCACAACCGCGCTTCCGAAACCAGCGAACCGCAGGTAAAATGGTTTATAAATTTACAAACAAATTGGTTTGGTTATTTAATTTTAATTCGATAGGGTTCAGAGAAATCAGCCGAGAAAATCCATAGTTTTCCCTTCACATCAGCAGGCGATTCAGTGCAAGGTAAAAATGTGCAAATAATATGAAATTTTAATGTGCGTTAATTTGTATTAATTTATAAGTTTATTATTATATTCGTGTAATTTAATGCATAAAATTACTTTAATTGTGTTGCTTTAAATTACTTTAAAAATGGCTGTTTCCCTGAAATGAAATACAAATCAGGTGAACGGTATATCAATGTTTTACTGAATTAATTTTATTTAGTTAATAAATTAAGAATTTCTGAAGACCGAAGTGATGATCAAAGTACCAGTATCCATTCGATCGAAACGATTAAGTAATTTAAAATTGTTTAATTTAAATTATTTATTTAGCCATTATAACGATCACACTTTGTGTGGTCTTCGTAATCGTACAGTTTTTTTTGCATTATATGAGACTTCACAAATTTCTGTATTTTCAGAAAGTCCGGCTGCGGATGAAAAATCGCCGTCAGCGGAAGTCCCCATTAAAAGTCTTGGACCTGTTGACAAATCCGAAGCTTTCGCAAATATGCAAGGTATGTGGATGGTGAATTAATATTTAATTTTTCCACGTTTCTAATATTGTGACTGTTATGTGTACTTATAAGTTATAAGTGATTAATTTACAGATTATGCGTAGCCAGCGTAAGTAAAGATTGTTGTCGTTATAGATTTTCAGAAGGAGTTAGTCGTGGAGGCGCTGCAGAATACCGGAACTCGTGAGAAAGTCAAAGAACCGGTTGCAATCAAAAGTCTTGGGCCATTGGACACTCCCTGTGAAGAGTTTTCGCATGGGTTCCAGAAGGATCTCACACTCGGAGGTAATTGATAGAATAAAAAATGGGATAAAATTCTCTTGTGAAGTGATAACGCTGCGGATTATCATGAAATTCGATTTTGCAGTGAAATTTTCTTCTCTTACTTATAGCATTTTCACATTACTATATTTCAGCAAATTCACAAATAATGAATCAGATACTATTTTTATTTTCTTGTTTTTCGTTTGTAATTTATTGATAATTTTCGCATTTTATTAATACTTAGTATTAATATTTAGGCGCAAATACGGAACGGCCGGACGGCACTGAATCCAACGTCAGTACCCAACCAGAACCCGAATCCGACGAAACACAGCAAAAGAATTTCCTCCTTCGCGCCGCGGAGAAAGTCGCGGCTGCCGCGGGAACCGTCGTCGGACTTCTCATCCCCGCACCCTCAACGGAAGACGCCCCTGCCAACACACCAAAGGAAGCACCAAAAGAAATCACCCCAAAAGATGTCGAGCAGGAAACACTGACCGCGAGCGCCGACGAATCCTTTGAAGAAGAGAAAGGCCTCGTGGACACGGCCATCGAGAAAGTCTGGAATCTCATCACCGGGAAAGAGGAGCTCTTCCCTATCCAGGAGGATTCTGCCACGGACAAACCGGCGCAGGTGGACAATCACAACATGACCGAGGAAGAATTCATCCAGACGGCGATCAAAAGCGATTTGAATCCGAACGCGGCGCCGTTTGTTCCGTCGGGACTTCTGCCAGTTATGCAACCGGAAGTCGTTCCCTATCCGCATCCGACAGTTGCGGGAAACGGGATGATGGCGGCGGGATTCGGTCAGGAGAATGATATTGCGGGAAAGACTGTGGAATCTGGAAATTTCGCGGCTTGATTCATAATTTTTCCCTGTGTTTGTGAATTGTTCTTGTTGTTATCGCTAAAAAGTGGTACGTCTTTGAAATAGTCATCGTTTTCCTAATTTTGACACGGTCTTGTGACATTTTTTATCTTTAAACCGGGTTAATATTTGATGCTGCTTTTGGTCAAGATAACGGTCTTTGATATTTATTCATAGAAATTATTTTATTAATTTTGGCGTCGAGACAATAATCATATTGATTATGACCGGACTAGCGCATATTTTGCGCGTTTTTATCCGATTTGAAATTTTGATTGCACGTTATCCTGATTGTACAGTCTCCTCATTGTTGTACTGTGTGAATCGATGTAAATAAACATTTGCGCGCTGCTTCAGTCGGTTCCCTTTATCGTACCGGAAGTGTAACGCTGCCGTCGGCGCTGTGCCAGGAATTGCTGAATCAGCTGATCGACTGACTGGTTTGGTCAGTGTTGCGGAGAAACGGCGCGCGCGTGGTGATTTCTCTGTCATTATCAGCCTTGATTTTGTGAATGATGATTTCTGCACCTGATTTATCAGAATGTTACACCAAATTTTGTATTTTATCAGAAAATCCGAAATAAAGTTTTGTAGTATATTGTTATTTTCTACACCATTAGGTTTTGTTTAAAGATTTTCAGAAATTTTTTTTAATGTTTTACCATTGCGTTTTTGGAGTTGCTCAGAGCGTGAAACAGGAGTTGGGACCTCGATCAGCTGGCTAGCCAAATTAATCACAGCCGTTTCAGATTTGCTGCGAGGTCCCGTTTTGTTGTTGTTTCTCTGGACCTGTGTAATATTATCTGCAGTTTTAATTTTTACAAATTTTATTGTAATATTTCCTACTTTTTAAGCCCAGTATCTTGTGAGAATGGCCAACGTTTCCGTTTTTGCAACGTTTCTCGTGGTTGTGCTGCTGGTGGCTTCCACGAACCAGGTTATCATTCGCAATCCTTCCTTCAGCATCCCGTGGAGGAAATTATTGCCAAAACATTCACCGCTTTGGCCGCATGGCTCGATGCAGGTGTCGCCCGTTATTCTTAGTAAGTGTGCGATAAGAGCGCGCGTTGTGCTTTCTGGTTTGTTTTGAGAATAAGTTAGTATTTAGATTTTTTGTAATAGCTGATAATTTCTGAATATTCTGCAGCACGATTATCGTGTTACTGCATGAGTTAAAAACAGTCTATCAACATTTCATGGTCGTGTAGTGATTGAAGTTTCAAATATGTAAGCCTGCAGGTGTACGAAAAAGAGTGTTGAAAATGACGCGATAATAATTGTTGTGGTATTTTTGCAGTTCCAGGCGATGGTGGCAGCCAGTTTGAAGCGAAACTGGATAAACCCAGTGTTGTGCATTATCTGTGTGCTCAGAAGACAGCGGGATATTTTGATTTATGGTTGAATATTGAATTGTTGTTGCCTTACGTTCTGGACTGCTGGATTGATAATATAAAGTGGGTACTTTGTTGAATCATTCTGTATCATAATTTTAAATTGTATCGTTCTGCTGCAATCAGTATTAATTTAAATTGAATTTACGTTGAATTATTTAACATTTATCTGTCAGCACTAGTCAGCAGTTAAATGAGTTTGCGAAATCGTGATCGTGGTTGTCTCAACTTTCATTATCATGTCATTGTAAATTTGTACTTGTGTATCAATACCAGATTTTGAAGTTCGATATTTAATGGTATTTAATTGCAATTATTCGCCCCATTGCAGACCTGTGTATAATAAATACTCGTACTGCAAGTTAGTAAATTTTTCCATGTCATGGTTGCGGTTATGACCTTGCAATGTTTTGTATGTGGAGATGTAGCGCACAGGCTTTGTGCGTCCTGCATTAGCAAATATCTGATCTTTTTTGCTTTTTTGCCTTATTAGGCTCAATTACAATAATGTTACGGATCAGACGGAGAATTCTCCGGGTGTGGATATCCGCGTGGTGGGATTTGGCAACAGCTCATCGGTGGAATATCTGGATCCCAGTCGCATTAGCATTTGTACGCAATACGCGTTTTAAATTCTTTAGCGACGAGTGAATTACATACAGTAATTTTTACGATGATAATGATTAATCCTTATTAATCCTTCATTGCTTCTGTAAAATTAATATACGGATACAGCGACGATTGTATGAATTCTCCGTTGCAGCCAAGTATTTTGTTGACATCGCCAACGTGCTGGTGGCTAACGGATACAAACGGGATGTGTCCATTCGTGGTGTGCCTTACGATTTCCGCAAAGCTCCCAGTAAGCCAAATTTCATGCAATTGATAACTGTTGTTTTTCGATTTTTAAGCACTATATTAGTGGGGTCCATTCTCTTGAAGTTTGTTCTTTTTTTGTCGGTGTCAGAATAATCGTAGCTATGTTTTTCGTAGCTCTTCTTGATGGCCAGCTTGCGCGTGTGTATAGAGTAGTATTTCACATGACCATTCTGTTTCACCAACTTCAAATATTGAATCAAAGTACGAGCTCGTTATATTTGGGAATTTGCTTCCACATATAGATGACAGACATTGAAATAATGGTGTGTCCAACTGTATTATCGCTTTTATTCGTATTTCTGCTTCTAATAAACAAAAATAAATAACTGTAAATGGAATGCTGATAGTACACGGGATAATATGATCATGAAATTGTGTAGTGGATTGGCTGCCTACAGGAAACTCTAAAAGTGGCAGTGGCCATCTGACCAATGACATTTGTTTAATTGATCGTTTTCACTTTTTATATTGGACTTTTTTTTAAATAAGTCACCGTCATGGTAGAGTAGTATTAAGCGGTTATACTGACATGCGATTTTGCTGTTGACAGATGAATTGGGGGATTATTTTGTGGCCTTCAAGAAATTAGTGGAGGAAACGTACGAATTGAATAATCAAACCGCCGTGACGTTTATTGCCCATTCCATGGGTAATTTGATTGGATTACACTTTCTTCACCAGCAGACACCCGAATGGAAAGCCAAGTATATAAAATCCTTCATCAGTCTGGGCGCTCCGTGGGGTGGAGCGGTTAAAGCCATTAAAGCCTTTGCGTCAGGTAGGCTGAGTGTGTCTGTTTAGTTTTCGTCTGGATATCTTGGACAGAACCTGTAAAAATTAATATATACAGTTGGTTTTAAAAATTTATCAAATTCGTTACCAAACGCTTTTCAAGTAAAACAGCTGATTCCAGTCACAGGTGGTAACTTTAGCGCCACTACTCTACGAATGCTCGCGATTATCATTAATTCGTTGTTGCCCATAGACAATTTAAAATTCCAAGATTTTGCAAAAATTGAGCATTTGTTGATTTGAAATTCTTGTTACTATTTTATTTGTTGTTATATCTGGTTGAGAATTTTATTTGTGTGTTTTTCTTGAATTCTTTTCGATTAAATACTAATATTGATCGATTTAAATTGTATAATAGGTGAAAATATGAATGTTGCCCTGATCAGTGCCTTCCGTATCCGCGCCGAACAGCGCACGAATCCCAGCTTGACCTTCATCTTTCCCCATCCGGATTTCTGGGATAATAACCAAACGTTTGTAATAACGCCCACGCGAAATTATTCCCTGAGCAATATGCAAGATTTCTTCTCGGATATGAATTTTCCCGACGGATGGGAGATGTACAAACGGACATCCAATCTGGTCACACTCAAACCGCCAGGCGTTCCGGTACGAATAGAACACAAGTTCTGAGCATTTATGAACGTCTTAGTCTCTTAGATTTACGAAATATTAATTCTCGCGGTGTTATCTCTGAATTTGAATAGTGCTCGTAACCTTGCAACGGTAGAACCTTGTCTTGGTGGAACGGTAATACGAATTCTGCCAGAATATCGTAGAGTAATGGCTAATGTGTCATTCAAAATGTCTTATGCTTGTAAATGTTGCATATGGGAAAATTTGTTATATAAATTTGAAACTAAATTTTTATAAATAGATTAATAAATAAATTGCGAGTGTTATTTACTGTAATAAATTAATTGTTGTTATTATTATTACTATTATTAGATCTGTAGCAAAATGTGGATAATATTCATGAACAACTGCAGAAAAATTACGATGAAAGTGAATCACTTTCATCTGTTGAAAGGTTAAGATATTGCTCTGTGAACCAACAGACTCCTGTAACCAGCTTAAATATATGCTGTATTAATTTTATTACTATGGTTTACCGCGATACTGTGTGATATGTTCTTTGCATGGATATATTGAATGGTCTAAAATAAATATGAAAATATATGAACTATTTGGTTTAGATGTACTGCATGTATGGTGTGGGTGTGGACACACCCACCCAGATGATCTACGGGAAGGGCCAGTTCCCGGACACGTCGCCCAAAGTGGTCAACGGCGATGGTGACGGCACGGTGAACCGGCGCAGTCTGGAAGTGTGCGCTCTGTGGCAGAAGATGATACCGAACGACATCCATCTCTTCCCGTTTACGGGGGTGAATCACATGACGGTGCTGTCGGATAAGAACGTCCTCAACGCTATCGGAAAGGTGGTGTTTGATTTGAAAGAATTCAGATGATTAGCTCAAGTTTTCTATAGTCTGTGATGTCGAAGCCAATTGATGTTGGTAGCGATCAAGTATTACGTGCGTTGTGGTTCCTTTTTCTGGTGCTTCGGAACTGGTTTTCCCTGTTCAACCGCTGCTGCCTTGTACATGTTTTCTTTCAGCTGTTTCGTGTCTTGTTCTGGTTTGCATGTGTTTTGTTGAGAATCCATTTTCTTCTGATGGAACAGTTAGGAGTTCAATAGCCGCTGTAATTTTGTTGATGTGAAGGCATCTGAGAACGGTATTTGCTATGATTTTATAAGTAAAGATCACAATTAAGCAATGTTGCAATGACAACATTTACCGATTTAAAAAATTTCGCATTCAGTAAACTCGAATTCTATAATGTAAGCAATCACGCCACAACAAGAACACAAAAGTTCGCTAAATCGTTCAGAAGTTGTTATCATTATGAGCAACCTTCTCGCGTTGGCCCTAAAGTTCCGGTTATGGAACACTTTTAATCAGCATTTTAAATCTGCTAAAGAGAAGCAACGATTTGAAAGTTAACTAGGTGTTAACGTTTATGAAAACCGCATTCGTCGTATCCTAGACCCGAGCAACCTCCATTGCGGTGCCATAACACTACGTTTACTCTGCTTGCCGCCGAAGTATAACCAGTGGAACAACCTTTTAGTTTCCATTCAAATCAGAAAAAATTGTGAAAAGCATTTATGATAATGAAAGTACAATTAGTTTTTATTGATACTACAGAGTTAAAAGCGCGTTTCGTCATGCAGCCGAGATGCGATACGGCAGTCGAATCGTAAAACCGATCGAGCATTTTTTGCCTAATTCTTTAACAACTTAAACTGAATACAAAAAATTTAAGGAAACCTTTTAAAGCGCACGATTTGTTCAAGTTTTTCACAGAAGCGCGTGTCGCTAATTTTCTGTATCGGGTTTCGTTACTCTACGCGGTGGCATCACTCTACGTAAATCTCTTAACTTCTTGTTATCGTCGGTAGCAACAGAAGTGGACAGGTATTAATTAAGTACTGTAGTAGTACTAAGCATATCCTAAGGTAAGTACATTAGCGGCCAAAAATCCAAAATGTAATCCCACAAAATCCCATCACCAGCAAGGTTTTAGTGCATGCCAGCGCTCGATAGTTTCGCGCGGTTTCTCCAACATCGTCGTCCAGTGTTCCAGTTCGGTACCGGCGGCGCTGGCACTCAACACCACACGCCCGATTCGATCGGAAGAACTTAAGCGGTTGTGATCCATAACCGTCAGAATTAGCAGAGAATGCTGAAAACATATGGCAACAAAATGTCACCGTTGCTCTATGGAATAAATAATCGTGCCGAATTAAATTTTTCATACCAGCGACGTCGCTAACATTTGCAGTACATCAGAAATTGTTCACGCCGGCGTTTTATACCGATTAAACGTGCTTTACCTGAATTTGTTCGAAAGGTTCCAGATCAAATGCAAAGGATTCTTTGAACGAGGGATTCAGTGTATGCATTTTCTTTGTCGTCTTGGCTTTCTTTAACAACTTTCCATTGCACATCAGAGTGATTTTCACGTAAGGATCTAAAGGTACAAAATTAAAAACTATTTTAATTCGCCGGAACAATGTCTGTATTAAACTAGGACGGGTTGCGCACGCTCATACCCGATAAGCCCATCAGATCCATTTTCTTCAGGTCACGCGCTTCCGTAACGTTCACGGTCAGCATACCGGTGGGTGGCACGTAACATAACGAGCAGCACAAATTCCCAAGCTGTTCGCCCTGTTCGGTAAGAATATTAGTGAAAATTGTTCAGAGTTTGACAAGTCACAACATCGTAAAATGTCAACCGTAATCGTTTCACATTTTAATACATTTCGATGCAACCAGTTTTATTATACCTGCTAACCGAAGAATTGCTAATAAAACGGAAAACGGAACTGTCATTAAAAATATTTGTTTTATGTGAGTTTTTTAATCGGTCAAACACCGAAAAATCGAGAAAAAATGTATTAGTAATACACAATTAAATTTACGTAGGCTCTTAAGAAAGCGCGCTGAAGCCTGTCGCTTATAATCCTGTATCATTTTGGGATGTCACAGCGGCATTACACTACGTCAATTTGCTATTATCAGTTATCACCAGTTGCTGACATTTCTCCGAAGCCCAGATTTCAACGTCGTCACGTCGTTGAAACGTCGTCACGTCGATTTCACGAGGCACATATACGTATACGTATATGTATGGCGTACCGATTGCGCAAACGTTTTACGAACAAACGTTTTTTAGTTTTCAGTCAAATGTTACACACAAATAAATCAGACAAATGTTTGTCAACAAATTTTTAACAAACAAATGTCACTGACAAATGCTTTCGTTACCAGACAAATGTTTTTCACTATCAGACACATATTTTTCACTATCAGTCATCAGACAAATGTTTGTTGACAAACATTTATCTTTTACTGACAAACGTTTTTCATTATTAGACATATGTTTTTCACTATCAAACAAATGTTACTGACAAATGTTGGAATGAGATGCCTTGATCAAATGTAACTGCCGTCTCGTGCACCGGAAGCGCTACTACGGACTCGGAAATTTTTTGCCATTTTTGTAATTCCAATTCCACCCGTCCAATTACAGGGAATAATGTAATCTCCGTATTTCGCTGGAAGTCCTTGTTGATGCTGGAATTCTGCTTTTGACGGTACTGGATTGTTTTGGTTTTTACCGTTGTAACGTTGGTTGCTGGCTTCCTTTAAAGTCTTCCCTTAGATTTTCGTTTTCTCCTAGTCTCTCTTTGTGTAAAGGTAACGGGATTTTAATGGATCAGTTCTATGAATTTGCGTATTCAGTTGTAAGGCGTGCAGCAAGGTTCCTGACAGCTCCGAATGGGGATTTACGATCAGGATGGCGTTGACGGTGCGGTGACGCAGATGACTCAACATTTTGGTGAGTCGAACGTGCTTGAACGCAACCACGCAGTCCGCACTCAGATTTGCGTGGTGGGCTTCTAACATTTGTCAGTAACGTTTGTTTGATAGTGAAAAACATTTGTCTAATAATGAAAAACGTTTGTCAGTAAAAGACAAATGTTTGTCAACAAACATTTGTCTGATAGTGAAAAATATGTGTCTGATAGTGAAAAACATTTGTCTGGTAACGAAAGCATTTGTCAGTGACATTTGTTTGTTAAAAATTTGTTGACAAACATTTGTCAGATTTATTTGTGTCTAACATTTGATTGAAAACTAAAAAACGTTTGTTCGTAAAACGTTTGCGCATTCGGTACGCCATATATATGTGCCTCGTGCGTCAAATAACACTTCAAGACACAAAACCGATACACAACCCGATTGTTATTTCGTATACTTCTGATGATTAAACCGTGTAAACGAGGCCGGACGATGCAAAACTGGGAAATTTATTTGAAACTGCTCCACCAACCTTAACCACTCCGTCCTGCTCCAGCGGCTGCAGATCATTCCATCCGTCGAACACATAGCCGATGTGCTTGGAATCCAGCCGCAAGCGCACTTCACCGATCGGCACATCCTTGGAGAACCGGTTAAAATCGTACACCACCATCACCAGGGTCTTTTCATCGGTGGTCTCCTGTAGGAACTACACACCGAAACGGGTCATGCGCTGCTCAGGTGACGCAGTGAACATGCGGTCAGAAAAATGGTAGTTACCGTGAAACGAAAGGTTTCGTCAAAGATGGGGTTGAGCGTCTTCATCTGCACTTTCGTCTCGTATTTGGTGTTGTCCGGGAGGAGGTACACTTTGACGTACGGGTCGGATGTGCCGCACTGGTCCAGTGCCGGTAAATTGGCCGCTTCACGGATACTGACCATCAACTAGTACAAAAATAATTTAAGACTGTTATTTAGTGAGTACGACACAAATTCGCAGCGATAATGCATAGGATACAAAATTCCCGATTTTGTTAGCGTAGGTAAACTGATAATTTCAGAAGTGCGACAATAAATCAACAAAGAAAAGGCAGCTCACGAAAGCGCTTTACGAGCTCGCTTCACGGATAGTGACCATCAACTCTGTATGTAATGCCAGGAATATTTTAAAAAATAGTTTATTAATTATTTTGTGCCACACAATTTCGCAGCGACAATTAAAAGGGCACAAAATTTCCGATATCGTTAGCGCAGATACATAAGTCGATATTTTTAACTGAAGTGCGATGATGAAGCAACAGATAAAATGCACCTCACGAAAAACTGAAACCTTTTTCTGTATTCCAACAGATAGAAATTCGCAGCTACTAAAACCAAAGATCGCCGTAGAACAGTGGCGCCAAAAAAACGAGCCAGGGTGTCAGTTCCGTTAGAAATGTTTCGTAGAAATCGAATTAAAAAAATGTTCTGTTAGGATAATAGAATCTTTTTTGTTTTTTTAGGCCGATTACCGTTGAATGTTGTACATCGTACTCCAGTCCGAACTTCAACTGGCCGAGTGGATTATCCAAGTTCCTTCGGGCCGATGCTGAGCTGCTCCGTCCGCGCAGTTCACCGACGCCCTCGTTATCTTCCATGTTAACCACCAAGTACTGCTTGTCGGCTTCAGAAAGTTCGGATAACGGTGCTTTATCAAAGGTCATCTATACAATAAACGCACGTTATTATCGCTTTTAATTGAAAATAATACTTGTTATTTTCACTCGTCAAAATAATATTTGTTATTTATTTTCACATGATATTCCACTACATAACTAACATTCTATAAAATTATTCAAGATATCGTACGCATTTGATAAATCGAAATTGGAGGTTTGTTTTAATGCACGCACATAGCGATATACGTACACGGATCACTCACTATACAGGCTACTAAAATCCAGTGCTTCGTAAACAATATTTCACTAAATAAATCCATAGTATACGAATATTTACCGGAATCTTCGTATTGTGGCCATTGTCATCGCGGCTAGGTGGCGTCTGATCCCCGTATTTCTTATCAAAACGGTTGATAAAGGAATTGGCGGTGATGGCGAGATGCGGTGGCGGACTGGGCGGCACTTCTTCGATACTACAGCATCGCCGCCGGAAGCGTCGCTCGCGGCAATACACATAAACACTCCATACAATGAACAGTAGGCCGATGACCACGGCGATCAGAAATATTATTCCAATGGCCAGAAAAACGTCACGAGAAACTATAAATTCATTTCAATAGTCATTTATAAAAAAAGAACAAATGTGGATTGTGTTATAGGTGAAAATATCATAGCATACAGCTCTGTACAGATACACTCCTGGTTCAATTAAAATTGATTATTTCAACAAATCAAGCCGAAACATTTAAGACATAAAGAAGTGTGCAAAATAAAGTATCCAAAAATGCACAGTAAAATTGTAAATTAGAATGCTAGCTTGAGTTCGTATTCGAAAGTCCTATGTGTTCCTTCGACAATAACAATATGGAAACAGCAAGTTAAGATAGCTAGCCATCGCACTGCATTGGTCAATAGTCACATAGTGTGCACTCACCTAACTGGGCAAACCAACTCACAGGCCAAATTTAATATTCCTTCTTTACTACAAAAAAGCGAAGCAGTTACATAAACGATGTACTTACTTCCCAGATAAGCCAGGACATGTTGTGCCGTCGCATCCCAATATTGTTCGCATTGGCGAGCAGCTGAGTCGGGTTCGGTGACAAAATTCGAAGTAGTGTCGTTGGCGATAACTACTGTTGAAGTATCCATCGCGTCAGCAGCATCCATCTTACGCCAAGAAATGTGCGCAAAATTCGGAAAAATTTTACACCGATTTTACATATTTCTCCACATCGACCTACTCAATCCTGCGTTTTGCTGGATGTTACACAATTTATCCTAACCGAATTCGAACACACACGGGCAGCGGGCCAAATCCGGCCCATCCGCTATGCCGGACTGCCGTTTCAAGTGCACTTAATCACGTTTACCGCGATAGGAAGGTTCGTAAAATCTCCCGGTTTATGAGTTCAAAAGGTGAGCAGCCATGCAAAGAATTTGCCGGTTTCACCGGAATACGGCATTCTACTTCGGCGTAAACACTCTGCATTGCTTTTAAATTTTAATGCCACGTGAAAGAATTTTCATGGTCGAAAGATAACAGATCAACTCAGTGTAATATTTTCGAGTCAAACAGGAGTTAAACAGCAAAACGCAATAGAAAAATTTACGGAAAACGTCCGAATAAATTAAATAATGTTAGAAAAACCAGAATAAACGAATTATGAAAGCTAACTAAGAGTAAAAGGAAAACCATTTTGTGAGCAGAAAATTAACGGGTACCAGAGAATCACCGTTGCACATCCAAGTTTAGGCTTGCGGCCCAACGTTGGCACCAGGAACATTGAGATATCGCAGCTGTAAAAAGGACGTTTGCGCGCGCTTCTCCAAATCGGCCAACTGCGTCACGGTGGCCTGCAGCAGGCCAACATGATCCTTGTAACCCGTACCTGCAAAACAAAAAGGGCTATCAGAAAAAAACCTCTGATTATAATACCTTAACAATTCAACTCTTTTGGAAGAACATTTTTTTTAATCAAGTTTCTACGAAGCGTATGTTTACAGTCAACGCCCATGGTCCGATAGCAGTCAATGCCAATGTTCTACGATTGTCATTAATTTTAAATTTAAATTGTAACTTGAAACGAACCACCGTGTGAAATGTAGCAACATAATCAATTCCGTTTTTTAAATTCCAAAAAAGTCCACTGATTTCGGGGTCTCGATTTTTAGGATTAAAAATACTAGTTATTTTGCAAAATACATCTTCATTTCAAACGCGTATTCTATCAAGCGCTTTAATGATCCTATACCCAGGCGAACATTAGCGCCCATATACTACATCTATTATTAATTTATTATTGATTTCAAGTGTGAGTAATTATTATTATGGTTCTGATCGAAAATTTAGCTGCTGATTTCAACCGCTTCTCGAATTTATCTTTATTTGTTGAAATTTAAATATACTGCAGCTGCGTTTTAACTGAAATTCAACGTCTTCAAGCTCACCACCGCCAAATATTCACTTAATAAACTCTATCCCATTCGAGAACCGGCTTAGTCTTACCGATGGCCTGGCGCTTCTGCCCGTAGGTAACCTTCCCTTCAAACTCATCCACCGGCACGTTCATCTCCTTCCCCACTTCCGGCACAGTCACGCCCAGATGCTCCTCAATCTCGCCCATCAGTCCCACTTCGTTGTACCAGATACAGCAGCCACCTTCGTCTTTCAAGCGTGTGTTATGACAACTCTGGCCTTTACTCTGGCACGTGTGATACCACACTTTCTCTTGCACCGTGGCCACCAACGAGATAGCCAGTCCCATGCGCTCCGCCCGACCGACGCGACCAATGCGGTGAATGTAGTTGGGCACTTCGTCCGGCAGGGTGACGTTGATGACGAAGGGAATGCCGCGGATGTCCAAGCCGCGGGCCGCCACGTCTGTGCAGATCAGGAAGCGGACACGAGCGTCCTTGAAAGCTTGCAGATTCTGCTGGCGTTCCTGGGGTTTCCGATCACCTATGCAACAAACAAAAATTTACACATCGACCGACAAACTAACTATTAATGCGTCAGCAAACGCTGGTAATAAAAAATTCTATTGCAAAATTACTTCGAGATCGGGATGGAATATGCAACACTTATAACGCGGCGCGTAATTTGAAACACCACAAGAATCGGATTCAGCTAACCTACTGCCACAATTCTACGATCATTTAACAATTTCAAACTTTCTACTTTTCCACAATGAAGCAAATCAACAGCCAAATTATTCATAAAATAACTGCAAGATTTAATTTATGAGGATTACGTCAGAAAACCCTGAGTTATCAAATTTTGATTAAAACTTCTTAAAGAACAAAACTTAATCTAAACTTTGAATAGTTATACAGCCGTAAGGCGCCACGCCACGCGGGGATAAAGCGACATTTCAAGTTTCTTTCGTACCAATATTCCATTATCAGTCAGTACTCAGTAAAATTCTATGCGTCATCTACGCGCCGAAAAACCAAGAATATTCATAAATTAATTGTACGAACAAACGAAAACATCAGCAAGTGCTGAAAAATAAAAAAACATGTTTTTGGAAATTTACCCTGAATTGTTATGCAACCTATTTCGACACGGAATTAAATCATTTACATTCGTCCGCGTCCTTCACGTGCCCGCGTTCTACGATTATTACACCAATTCTCTTCGAATTACAAACGACATATCCAAAAACCAAAAGAATATACGTTGTGCACCGACAACTAATGCCGACTACCATGTATTCATCGCACAAATTAAGTAAAACTGTAGTTTTACCGTGTAAGCAGACGCAGGTGAGATTCCGGTCAATGTTCGTCAGGTAACGCTCCAAATTATCACAATCCAGCTTCGTTCGGCAGAAGATTAACGCTTGATCCATGTTAAACTTGCGAACGGCCGCCACAACATATTCCGCTTTCAACAACTTTACCGCCTCCGACAAAACTTCTACAAAAAGATTTCCAATAAAATGGTTTCATATTTTGCAGGAAATTCTGCTAAAAAAATCCGAAATTAAAATTTGATTTTCACAATCCATTTCTGAATTTACTGTTCAACCGAAGCCGTGCGGAGTCATATTTAAGCCAATATTTTACGACTGCCATAAAGTACATAAATTAAATAATTAATTAATTATGCTACGTAACTCCGTTCGACAATGTACTGCAAATCTTTCATCTCTTTACAAAATGCCGCAATTATAAGCATCAATTACTGTAAAAAATGCAAGCAGTAAAATAAAAACACCACAATCACCCACCGGGAGTCCAGTTTTGGAAGCTCAGCCGATCGCCACTGTGCACGCCGTCCGTCTGGACACTGCGTTTCATATTCTGCCACGAGAGATCTGTCTTCGGGTCAATTTTTACCAGGACATGATGCACAGTCTCCGGGACGGAATCCTGGCCTTTCAGATCAATCCATGTCGGAAAGCGCATCATTTGATCCTGCAAACAGAAAGAATTACAAAAAAAACGTTTTCAAGTGACTTCCTAAACTATTTTTACGATTAACCCACAAACTGTTTTGGCAAAATAAAAAATGCAAGAAAAATGTAGCAAAAACTTATTCCATTTAGTAAGGTCCTCTCAAGACAAGTCGAGCTGATGTAGTGCATTACAATATAAACAAAAAAATTCCGAGAAAGACTTACCGCCAGCTTCTTCACTTCGAAATTATGCAGCGTGGCCGAACAGACGATCATCTGCAGCCGTTTGCCGTCGGGTGTAACTTGGGGAATTTTCCCATGAAAGCGGTTAATCAGCGCCCAGTTGCCTTGGGACAGAAGGCCGTCGGCTTCATCCAGGACGAAGAAGCGAATGTTATTCAATAAGATATCGTTGGAGGCCACCAAATCCTCCAGTCGACCCGGCGTACCCACAATGATATCCACCTATATCATAAAAATTTAAATCATAAACAAGATTTCGAAATATAAAAAAGTAAAAGTATCTTCCTTTCCTGATCAAATATTACAACCAAAACACCAATAATCGATTACTGTGCATTGTGCAAACTACCACATTATTGTGCCAATATTCTACGATCATTCCGTACTTTACATCCAATAAATCATACCGAGATTACCAAAGATAAAAAAAAGTAAATGGATTTTCCTTTCTCTGATCAGATCTTCACCACCAAAACACAAATAATCCAATAATGTGGCAATCTATCATTATTATATCTATATATTTCTGCCTTTATTCTACGAGCATTCAATACTTTACAGCCAATGCGTTCTCCAGTACTGATTTAATTTTCCATCAGTCGAAACTAAGTCGAAACCAATAATTTAATGGAACGAAAAGTGGAAAGTACGAATACGTAGACGTACGCCTTGGTGCAACGCGTCCACTTGGTCCCGGGAATTCGTACCACCAACCACGCACAATTCCCGCACCGTTGGGTCTTTCAAATATTTCTTGAAGCGCCGAATTTCGGCCAAAGCCTGTCAGAAAAACGCACTTGACCTGCACAAAAAACAATGCGTATGCCCTGCAGTAAAGAACCTGCACTCTGAATGCTTCAATATAAACAAGCGCAAGAAAGTGAGATAAAACTGTGATTTTGTAACGTTAAGTCTGCTATCCGTAAAAAAAATCGAATTGCACACCGAAAAGTCAGTTCTATTTGAAAAAATTTCGTACCTGTTCAGCGAGCTCTCGAGTCGGTTCAAGGATGATCGCCATTGGAGCGTTGGGGCGGGACTGGCCGCCGGCTAAAGGATGAGCCGGTGCCGAGGCATCGGACATCACCACGTTGTTCGCCGGAGCATGACTGCATGCTACAAACCCATCCTGAAAAATAAGCAGACAGTTACTTGCAGTCTGCACCATTATTCTGTAGTTTATATAAAAATCAACCAAGTTCTTCACTTTAATTTCTATCATCTCAGTTTACAGTAGATTTATCAATGACGATATAGTTTTATCGCGCTCTATAAAATTCCTAACAATTTACTCAAAAAATTGAGTTACTCACTTTTATCTGGAAACAAATGCTGCCAATCAACTTTGTATAAACTTCAATTACTCAATTTAAATTACAGTATTATTAATTAATTTGGTATCAACGCGCGTTCAGTTTTTGTTAGTGTGATGCCTACTTGAATCATTCTCCATTTATTTTTTTATTACATTGCACGTAAAAACACTGCAAAACCGCTTCAAAATGGCGCATACTGCAGTACTAAAGCACACAGTCAACGGCTTACTGGAGGTGGAAATTTAAACGGTTGATCACCAAAGTTGAAGTGCATCTCGGCATTCTTCAGCACAACAGCCGGGAAAACGGCCGCATTCCGCAGCTGCGGGTCCAGATTCGATGCTACCGCAAAGATTTTGCCGTTTTTCGAAAAGAAAACCACGCCATCGTGCAGATCCAGGAAACAACCAACTACATCATCTTTGCCGTAGCTCTATGAACAAAAACACAGCATACTGAAAATAAACTCAGCTTAAGGAATGATGATTTTCGAATGATGATAACGAAGGAAACAACCAAGAATCTAAAAACTGGTCATCTGTAAAATTTCACGGTGTACCAGCCATTAACTAATGTCTATGTTGAATCTCTTTAAATTTTAGAATCTACCGATCGTCGCCGATCTGGCAATTTATCAGGCAACACCGCAAAGAAAACGATAAATTACGGAGAATGGTAATAAAACGAAATGCTTACTTCGCCGTACGAATCAAACTGTTTGTTCCACGATTTCTTTCCAGTTCCACCGAAACCGTAGCCGAATTTATCGGTGCCCAGGTCGCGATTGGCCTTGCCGGTAGACCAGCCGACGCGACACAATCCTTCGTCCGTCACCGTGGCTTCATAATAATATTTCCCTGCTTACAGAAAACAGCAAACGCCTTCATCTCTCCACCAAAGCGCTGGCTTAAAAAATCCAAATACAAAAAGCAAGGCGCTTATCACCCATACATGTAATTCTATACATTATTTATCTGAACAGCAGTACCGGGAAAGCAATTCGACAGAACACAGCCATTACACTACAACTAGCACAATATATACAGTATACAATAATTACAATCCTATATATCGTATGAACATTTCCAGGCAAATCAGGTACCTACAGAGTACTTGTACGATAATACATAACAAGTTTTATATTTATCTTTTTACCGCTATTAATGAGTCCACGGTTAGCGCGGCAACCTTGCCACGCTTGCTGATCCCGGCTCTGGCATGTCGTCAAATCGGGATCAATGGCTACCCAGGAAAAAAACGGTTTATTAATAAGTAGGACAATTTCCAACCCCGTTATCAAAACAACGAAACACCGTTACAACAGGACATCATAATGATCGGTAACAATACTTTAACAGGCAGATCTTCAAGTCGGCACTAGAGGTGGCAAACCGTACCCGGTACTGCCGTATACGGTATACGGTACGGTCAATCCGGTTATTTCTACCGTAACCGTACCGTAGCCGTAGAGGCGTAGGCTGAAACCATACGTAACCGTATTGAAATTCAGTACGGTTTGCCACCTCTAGTCGGCACCCGTGCCATTGTCAACGAATTAAAGATAAGTACTGTAAATTTTATCTTACCCATTAGAGGATCGCGATCGTACATGTTCAGTCCCCACTTTGTATTAGCACTTCCTGGAAAGCCGGGAAAAAATCAAAAACCGAACTAAGCACTTCTAAATCACAATACCACAAATAATATAGAGAAAATAAAAGACTATCAAAATAAGCCCACCCAAAGATTAGGAGGCTCACAATCCATTTGTCGAAATAAAAGGAAATTAAAAAGGCTCAAAACAAAACTTTCTATTAATTTTATGGGCAGAAGGAATAACGGAAAAATCTATGCAGCAGCATTTGTAGTAGAAGAAATTTTATTAGTAGAAGCAATATCAGCACAAAAAACAAACAACGATAATTCTTTAAATATGTCTACTGCAAATTTATAACTGAGAAGGCAAAATGTCGAAACGAATCGCGTAAAGCGTGTACGCAGCCATTGCACTACACTATGCGCTCAACCAAAACCTTGTACGTAACAAAGTACAAGTAGGAAGCGCAATAATAAACCCCGAACAGAACAAATTAGAAACATAAATCAGAGCAGCAGTTTAATAATATTATGACACCGTGACGGAACAAAAGTAAATATTTTCATCAGTATTTATATAAGTATGGTACTAGTAAAATTTTAAATATTTTTTTAGGGGACAAAAAAATAAATATTTTACCTCCAACAGCGCGCTGATCTCCCGAAGGTTTAGGATATTTGCCCATCTGTTGATCACGCACGGTTTCCCAGACAATTTGCAAAATGGGCAGACAGAATGCTCCAGTTTTTCCCGTTCCAGTTTCAGCAGCCTGTAACCGCAAACGGGCTCTCTAGCATCTGCTGACACGGGCGAGTATTTAATTTTAAATAAATATACACTGAACCGAAATGCTCACCATCAACACATCGCCTCCGCCAAGAATGGCTGGAATGGCTTCCGCTTGAATGTCCGTGGGGAGACTGGTGAACAAGAAAAATAATTAAACATAAATTTTAAAAAATCACTAGATCTACGCAGTAAATTAAAAACGCCGAAAGAAATCTCATTCCATGTCACTCATTTTTGGAATTTATCATTATTTATGCTACTGCAATTACAATAATTAAATCGACCACTGCCGACTCGCCACTGTAATAACCTACTTCCATTCCATTTCCTCGACGGCCTTCGCGATTTCCGGAAGTACTCCAAATTCTAAATGATTAATATGAAGTACAGCAGAAACAGGAAAGAGGAATTCACGGAAAATTCCATGTCGCTTCCATGCAGCGCAGCTTGCTGCTTGCATGTACTACCGTACCTTCGAACGCAGTCATCCTGGTAGTATCCTTTAAAGTGTACTTGATACACAAAATAACAAGTGTGAAAACTGATCTACAATAATCCGGCTTTCAAAGAGGAACCTGTGGACAGATGATAGATCCCGTGGTCGCCGGGAATCCGAAATGCACAAAAATGATCAAAGCTGCAAACCAGCAAACGTAAACAAATCAAGTCGAAAGGAAAAGTCACACAGGCGGACTGGGAAACGACTCTTTCAGCCATTTTAAGTGCCAATTCCATTAAACGGAATTCCATATTCGTAGCGCTGGTCAAACGCCGCCAAGAAGTAGCAGTTTGCACATTGCAGTTATCGATGTCCAAGGGGGCAAGGACTTCGATATTCAATTAAGAATGTCGCAAAATTGCAATACAAACTGATGGCGCAAAATCGTGAAAGCAGCCAGAAACGCGTTATTTCTTTATGTGCAGATTAATTAATGCTCTTGACTCAGTTGACAACTTGACAGTGACCCGACAGAGGCAGCTTTCCCACTTCCAGTGTCGATGGAGTTTCAGCATATTCGTTGGCATTAGCGCAGCTGCTTGCTGCTGGGCCAGCAGCGTGCAGCAAGGTGCATTAAATTTTGCTGATTTTCAGTTTTTTGCTGCAATTTGGTTTGATGCTTGCAGGAAAACATTGAGAAAATTATTTGCGGATTTTTTTTGCTGTTCATCCTTTCATTATGTTTTGGATATTCTAGCAGTCTATCCAGAGAATGATGCGATCCCTTTCCCGTATCCCCAACGGTATCGCCTCTCCGCGTCCCGCCACTCTGCTGACAGACACTCATCGTCATCAAGGCACCACCGCCAGTCAGCCAGCGAAACCCGCGGAGCCTCCCAAGACCGCCGAACCACCCAAACCCAAAAAGACCAAATTCGGCCCGCTGAAAGATGACGACCGTATCTTTACTAACCTGTACGGCCGGCATGACTGGGGTATTAAAGGCGCGCTGGCCCGCGGGGATTGGTACAAGACCAAGGAGATTCTAGGCAAGGGCCACGAGTGGATTCTGAACGAGGTGAAGAAATCGGGATTGCGAGGGCGCGGTGGCGCAGGCTTCCCGTCGGGGCTCAAGTGGAGTTTCATGAATAAACCTAGTGATGGACGGCCCAAGTATCTGGTGGTAAATGCCGATGAGGGCGAGCCCGGGACGTGCAAGGATCGCGAGATCATGAGGCATGATCCCCATAAGCTCATCGAGGGGTGTTTAATTGCAGGTAAAGGGATTTTTGCAGCTGAATGTGAATTAAATCCAGTTTTCGCAGTTCTTTTTTTATGCGGATATTCGGAAATATATATATCTATATATATATATATATAGAAGTATATATATTTCTCGTAAGGATAATATTAATACTAATGGTTTTGAACCGTACTTATCTGTAGTGTGTTCATTTACCCTTTTTCAATACTGTGTTGAGTGTTCTGGAAAATTTTCGAATTTTGTATTTATTATATTAACTCGATTTTTTAGAAGTTATTTTTGAATTTGTAAATTGTAAGCATGTTAATCCGTAAACGGTTAGAAGCGTAAAATATCGTAGAAATAGCGTGATATCGTAAAGTGGCCAGAAAAGTGAAACCTAACATATCAAGCATTCCTGGGCCGACTGCGTTTCCGTACGATTTATGATCAAACCACGAGGCTTAAGTGAGAATTTTTACATCTACTTTTGATTTGTAAATAATAGTGATAAAGCTTGTTGGAAGAACATAGCTTTTTTTGTGGTTTGCTACAAAAAAAGCGAATAATGGAGTGTGTTTGAAATGTTTTTTTGCATATACGTATCATGTATGTAATCTTATCGTTAGGAAAATCCATGCACGCCCGTGCCGCTTACATCTATATCCGCGGTGAATTCTACAACGAAGCGGCTAATCTGCAGATCGCCATCCGTGAGGCCTACAAAGCCGGGTACATCGGGAAGAACGCCTGCGGATCCGGATATGACTTCGACGTCTTTGTCTTCCGTGGGGCGGGAGCGTATATCTGCGGTGAGGAAACCGCCTTGATCGAGTCGATAGAAGGTAAACAGGGCAAGCCCCGCTTGAAGCCCCCCTTTCCGGCGGACATTGGTGTTTTCGGCTGTCCGACCACCGTGGCCAATGTGGAGACGGTGGCGGTGGCGCCGAGTATCTGTCGACGCGGCGGGGAGTGGTTTGCGTCGTTTGGCCGAGAGGAACAGCGGGACGAAGCTGTTCTGCATCTCGGGGCATGTTAATACACCGGTGACCGTGGAAGAGGAGATGTCGATTCCGCTCAAAGAATTAATTGAAAAGCATGCCGGAGGAGTCAAAGGTAAGACTGACAGACAGTTGATGCTGCTATGACAGTCTTCATGATTTAATGAAGGTTGTTCTAACAATTACGGCGTCAGATAAAGTCCAACAGTAGCACTTTGTAATAACGAAATAGACAGCAATTATTTTGCAAATGCGCTGAGCTGAAACAAAATGAATAATAGTGTAAAAATAATGAATAATGAATGATAGTGTGATTTATAATAGTCTTGACTGCACCATTTATGTCCGTTTGGTACAAACTGTGAACAAAAATTTATGAAAACTAAATTTGTGTACTGACATGGTAAACAGAAGATGTTGGCAGCGGGAGAGACTACTAAATAAACCTCTTTAGTTTCTATACTAAATTAAAAAAACTTAATATATTTTAAAATATTCAGTCTGGGTAGATAGGCGCCTGTTGCTTTACTCTGGTTATTTAATATCTGGTGGTGTTTACGGCGTAGGTCTTCCCAACCATTACACTACATTATTTCTCCACGATTAACACGAAACTTATCGTGCGTTAATCGTTACATAATTTTGGTAAATCTGCACTGTGCAGCAATTTAATTTTATTGTTAATGCATTCAAGTTCAGCTAACAGGTTAACGAGCATATTTTGTCGACTTATTGGTAAGCAGCTACGGAAAACACTTAACACACGTAATGTTACCATTTAATCTCGTTAGGTGGATGGGACAACCTATTGGGCATCATCCCCGGCGGCTCCTCCGTGCCGCTCCTGCCCAAATCCATCTGCGAGACGGTCCTCATGGATTTTGACGCCCTGGCCGCCGTTCAGTCCGGTCTAGGCACGGCCGCCGTCATCGTCATCAACAAGCAGGCCGACATCATCAAATGCATCGCACGGCTGATTGAATTCTACAAACACGAGAGCTGCGGACAGTGTACGCCGTGCCGCGAGGGTACCGGCTGGCTGAACAAAATCATGCAGCGCTTCGTCACCGGGAACGCGCAGCCGGATGAGATCGACATGATCTGGGAGATCAGCAAGCAGATTGAAGGCCACACCATCTGTGCGTTGGGGGATGCGGCCGCCTGGCCGGTGCAGGGATTGATTCGGCACTACCGGCCGGAAATGCTGGCCCGCATGAAGGAGTTCGCGGAGAAGAACACGAAGACGCCGGAGGAATGTCAGGATGGGCCGTTTCAGCAGCGTGTCGCCGGGTAGTGTCGGTTAACCGTGATAGACTTTCGCGATTATTCATGCATCATGTTGTGCATTTGTGTCGGAAATTTTATTGTATAGTTAGAGAATAAGTATGGTGAATTTTACTCGTGTTGTGCTGTACGACGGTATTGTGTTTACTCGCTGACTGATTCAAAGCATACATATAAATTATCTGCTGATTTGTCTACATCCGCTCGTACGGTACGATTCCTTCATTAGATTAAGTACTTAATTAGGAAGTAATATGATTTATAGTGCAGAACATTTGGACGGTATAGATGAGATATTGGAAGTTTGATACTTGTGTAAATTTATTGACACAATTTATGGAAAATATGAAGGATACGCTACTAAATAATATAAAATAAAGTTGTATAAATAAAGAAGTATAAATAAAAATTTCAATGTGTAAGCGTGCTAGATGATGTCGCTCAGCTCCTTGTAGCTACTGAGCGCGCTCGTAGAGCAACAAAACCTTCGGATCCTAGGAACAGCATTGAACGCGACAATGTTAAACGTAAATTCTAATCATTCGCCGAATCGGCACCCGGCATACCGGGCATGGGTTGCCGGCGAACAGGCGCTGGGAGCAGCCATTGCACAGGATAAAATGCGCGCAGGGAAAGATGGCCATAGTGCGCAAATCATCCAGACAGACCACACATGCCGGCCACGTTCCTGTAGTCGCGCTGCCCGTCCTCCAAGCCACCGCGATTCTCCGCACCCCGGCATGGATTCTCTGCTGGGCTAGTTCCATGAAATACCACATCCGATGGTTAGTCCACATCTGATGCTCAACCTCCACCACAACGACCACGCAGAGTAGACGGATAAGCAGACTGACAAGTAATTCGGGGAATGGTAAATATACAGGGCCGACAAGCCAGGTGGCAACGTCAGACACGATGTCCAGCACAAAACCAAGACTTCTGCACAACCAGGCCGCGACAATGATGACAAACGTGATATCGACACCACAAAAGACTGAGAACATCAAAATCCTGGTAATGCTGGCTAGTGAAAAATCCATTGGCTATGTTCGGATCTTTAATTGGCAATGACTGATGGAAGGCAAAAAAAATACCGTTACAGTATATGACGTATATACCGCAGTGACAGAGCAGAAATTAACTGCTTGCTAAAAAGTCGAAAGGAAGACGGAAACTAGTCTTGTATTAACAGAAAAATAACTAATGAGAAGTCATCTAAAGTTCAAACCATGATATTTCGATCGTAACATACATATAACGTAAGTGAATTAAGCTGTACCAATTTATTGTACCCTAGTAGGAAAGTGCTTTCTAGTCTTTCTAGAACAGAACCCAGAAAAATAAAATGTAGGAAGGCACTGTCAAAGCAGCCTAAAACAGAAGTCGTCTGCTTACGGCATTTAAGCCCAGCATTATTATTGAGTCATCCATCGAGTGCTGATTCTTAATTTTCCTTTTTTCAACGTGGCTGGCGGCAGGAGCTTATTACATCGTTACAGTAAGTACGTACCTGTGCGCTGTTGCTGTACGAAGTCTGCATGCGGATAGCGCAAAATTCTACAAAAAACTGGCACTTTTTAATTTTTGCCAAAAATAAATAGTTATCGTATTGATAATTATTTTAAGAAGACCAACATGATTAGTATCAGTTACCGGTATATACTATGTATTATCTATTATCTATATGTATTATGTATTATCTGAAAAGCTACAAGGAGTTATGAATCTATGATTACAATAATAACCCCATAGCGAACCGCTGACATCTTATTTTAATCTTATCTGATATAGTATATGTTATAACAGTCTAACAAACAGATTAAAATTTGGTTATAATTTATAACCACGTTTTAATTTATTGTAAAGCTGAAAATAGATATATATATTATAAAGTGGTATTGTGTCTTAATGATCATGGGTTATTTCGCATATACAGAGCATATGTTGTACAGAAATATGCGGTTATTTCGCATATTTCTGTACAACACATAGAAGTATACAACTTCGATATCTATATACGTATAAAATCGGTATAATGCATTAACGGGAGAAACAGCACCTTAAATATTTATGGAGATTCAAAGAAAAAATTTGTACGCTAAAAATTGCAGTATAAATCATGCCGGAAAGAGTAATGTCTGGATGTTAAGGACGTTGAGCGGAACAGCAAAAAATCACAATAGCTCCTGCAATGCTATTATCTACCGTTATAGGTAAACTTTAATCAGTTCCCGAATCGGTTTCCGGCACATGGGGCATAATTTCCCGGGTGCCACGTTGCCGTTGGCCAAAAGTTTAGAGCAGTCTTCACACAGAATGAAGTGCCGGCACGGAAGGCAGACAATCGTCCGCACATTGTCCTGGCAAATAACACACACTCTGGCGTCCCGCTCTTCCGGATCCAGTCCATCGATGTCCGCTTGGGATGCGCTCAAAGAGGACATTCGGGAAATTTTACTGACATTGTTACCCTCGTGTCCCGTCCAGTTTGTCTCAATTTTCCTCATCCCGATATACATCCAGTGCCGCAGCCGCTCCATCAGATCCAGTCGGTTGGTCCATACCATCTGTGCAATCCATACCACGATGGCTATGCAGAGTACGCGGAATAGCAGGCTGACGGCAAGCGCGATGGCGGCAATGGTTTCGTACAGCAGGGATCCGGCCACAACAGCTAACTTTATGGCGATGCTGCACAGGATTAAGGAAACTGCTATCCAGACAACATCGCTGAGGGACACAGCCATTTGTATGCTGGTGAGATCTGCAGTGCGTAATGACTGAAGGGAAGCCTGTTGATAGGATCACGGCAGAGATATACAGTGTAAGTACAGTGTGTCGTGTAACCCTTTAAATTTAAGAAATAACTCGCTTCATCATCAAGTGAAGGTTGTCAACAGTATAGGCTCTGCCGCTCTGTAGTGATGGCTGATCAACCGATTAAGGACTGAAGGTGGCAGAAGGCTTTGTTGGAAATTCAGAGATTGTATGCTACAAGATGAGAAAATAATTCTCGAAAAATAATGGGGATTTCTTAAACAGTAACAGCAGCCAACAGTGTTTCTAGAACAACAACACAGCCAACAGTGTTTGTGAAACAACTATAACAAGTAAGTTTAAGGTTAAAAACACTTAAAGCAAACACAAACTGCAAGCGTGGGCATACTTAACGCCGCACTTCCGCTTATAATAGGAGTACCTACGTATAACAAGTATGGCGGTGATTGTGCTACGAGTCTACGATCCTGTTTGACTCGTTGGCGGATGGGCAGCCTTGCTACCGGCAGCCGGCAGGAAATACAGTACACTAACGTGTACAGTACATGCAGTACAGTAAGTAAGCGGATTTGCAGTATATGTGTAAATGTTATTATAATAATTACGTTATATTATTGAAATCGAAAGTAGCACCAAAACCCTGCAGCTGTTAGGAGCTGCACTAACCGAAGCATGGATTGATTCGGCCGGAAGTGGCCGAAAGCCGCATGACTTGGGACATAAAGATTAAGGAAGGGCGTTGCGGAGAAGAACCCTAAGCCGACGGAGTGATCGCTAGATGAACCGTTTAGAGATTATGGCGAAGGTTAGTGCCCTTTAACCGTGAAAACTTGAGTAAATTATTCGTGGCGCGATTCAGTTTGTATACTTGTAATTAGGAAAAATGTGTGGTCGATTCTTGCTGTGTTATGTTGTATCTGTACAATGGTTATCTACATCCGGCCGTAACCACGTATACACGATTGATAATGTCGCTAATGTTTGGGCGAACGGCTGAACCGATTTCGACGCGGCCAAGTGCGCTAGATTCGTCTCAACGGCGCGAATGTTCTTACGTTATTGCGCCATTGATACGCCCCAACGGGGAAGCAGAACCCCCCAAAAACAAACTGTTGCCATGGGCCCCATAGGCTAACATAAGCTAATGCGGAATGACAGAGACAGACCGCGCCCTTCGGCATCGCTTCGCTAATAATTCATGGAAAACTGTGAAAAACGCTACAAAATAAAGGTTTCTTATATTTCTTCGGAGTCTTAAGTTTTCTTAGGTTTCTTAGTCTTCTTAGACTTCTTAAATTTTCTCAGAATTATTCTCACATTCTTAGTTTTCTTGGGTTTCTTAGGGTTTGTTAGGTTACTTGTTTTGCTCAAATTATATTTCCAGTTTTCTTGAGCGGCTGAAATCAACCTTCGTCGAACTAGTGCACGACACAAAATTTGGTGCGGATGTAGATACCGTAAACTGGTTATATGAATACTAAACATCTCTAGCAGGTGTTCGGCCTCTCTTCATTGTCCCGGGTGATCTCATCTCCTGATAAACCGATTTTCATGCTTTAAAATATTCTAGAATCCTTTCAGGGCGGTGGATGTTGTGAGACTAATGACCTTTTGCTGTTTTAAGAATTCTCAGGCCGGTGGTCACTCAAAAGCTTGTTACCATGGATGCCATAGGGCTAACATGAGCTGGCCTGTTACCACGGGCACGTTCTACTGCACTTGCACAAGAAACAGTTTGGCTTCGCCTCTGTATTTCTTGTGGTTACCCGACGGAAACCGCGCTTATTTCAATCAATTCATAATTTGATATTGGAGACTTTGATAAGATCTGAAAGGAAGTCGAAAAGCACATTACCGTTTTCTTTTATTTCACTTGATCACTGTCGCACCCTGCGGCCCAATGCTCTGAGCTGTATCAAGGTTCGGTCAATCTCTCGCATAATTACTGTATAGCAGCCCAATTCACTAAACAGTAATACTACGACGTAATTCTACGACTTCCGTAATTCTACGACTTCGAGTAACAGAAAGCCCTAACTCACTTATTTACAGTGCCTAGTCGTAAGCCAATATTCATCCGTGCTCAGCTTGTATTCTGTACAGTTACGAGCACTAGTGTATCTATCTGTATGCAAGTGTTACTAGTCATACTTGTCGCTAATTAACCTCGCCAACCCGAGTACATTACTCAAATGAAAAAATTATATGAATGGATTGCTATGCACGTTAATTCAATACCGTTTTAAAAAAATGCGCATATTTATCGTTCTTGAGTAAGCACGAGAGAGCGAATCGCTGCCATTTTAATGCTACCTGAAAAGTGGTATCTAACTTTTGACTTTTTTTTCACTTTATCAGAGTTTATGTACAAGTTACTACAACCTTTAATAAGTATCATAATGCGAGTACAAAAGGCGTACCAAACACAACGGCATTTGCAAGAGAAAAACTTCCTCTATATATGCTATCCTGATCGGGGGATCGTACCCATTACACAAATCGCGTTTCCCCGTTGTATTTGCAAAGATACTCGCTGTACAAGTGCATAGAACAGCGAAAAACTTCTCGATAGTGATCTTCGCTCAACACAAAATGCAGGCACGGAAGACAGTGACCAGTGCGTCGATTGTCGGACAGGCAACACTCACTTGGACATCAGTCACCTCCTACAATTCCTCCGTATTCGGAAAGGCCGGTGAAGAAAACCCAGCCATTTTCAGACGCTCTCCAGGTCGCTTCCATCTCTCGGAGCCCGTGCTGGAGTTGCTTTACCAGATCCGACCAGGTCGTCCACACCCGCCGCGCAGTCCACGCCACAACGGCCATACTTAGCAAGCGCACCATCAGACGGAGCGTCAGTTCAATGTCGACAGGTGGACTGGTATTTATGGTACAGTCCATGTGATGCTCGTTAACGAAGTACTGGTATAACTGCTCTTAGTAGCCATAAATTGTACTTACTAATTTAATTACTAGGGTGGCAATACCGCCAAACGGCTGCAGTATATAATCAAAGGAAAAGAATGGAAGCAAGCCGCCTATTGTAAAGCTAAAATATCGTCTCGTGCAGTCCTGCATCTGATGAAAATAACAAATAGACTAAAATTATTAAAAATTCAAGTTTAAAAGGAGAAAACGTAGTTGGAAGTTCGAGCTGGTAAGCATTAAATACCGGATCTAGAGGAGCAAATACATGCGCATGTAGCAGTAAATCATCGAAATCAACACGTTTGGCGTGGTCCAATGGGGAAGGCCAACATGTACTGTAGCTGGTGGCAGTTCCTAATTGGCAGTGCTAACTTGACTGGACAACTGGCAGTACGTACCAAGTTACTACCAACGACATCCATGTGCGAGCATATGCATTATAAATATAGATATATCGTATTCTTGTTTGCCTAGTCTGGAAGTGGACACATATGTATAGACCATATACATATAATATTTATATGTATTCCTATAAAGGAGCGCATTAATAAGGGTCAGGGTTTTCATGTTTTTGTTGAACAATAATATTGAGCTTTTTGTTTTTTGACGCGTTGAATACAAACGTAGATTTATTTTGAGCCATCTTGCTGATGCTATAGTAAAGCAGTTGGGCTAATAAAGAGTTTACTGTATAGTCGAGTATCTACAGTAGATCCCAAAATTCCGTGGAAAAAGAGCACAAAATCAGGCTGCATTAGAATCGCAGTATTTGATCATGTACGGCTGGGCAGCCTGTACCCAACTACATGTACAAGGGCATTTCTCAAAACACGTTGATGCAGTCTTGTTTTATTCGTGTTGCGCCTGTAGTTTTATTTTATTATATTACCCATTTTGTGTTTTATTTAGTAATTACTCGAAACATGCAATTTTTTATACTCGTACATATACATAATGAAATGGAAATCGTAAAAAAGCACCGTTTATTTGCTGCCTCATTTAAAACAAAGTACGGTAGAACCAAAGAAATGAGGGCTATAGAGAAAATATCACTACAGCAATCTGGCCTACGCCTTCGGCAGATTAATTACGCCCAAATACATAAATTTTCATCAGTTCCCGAATCGGCTTCCGGCACATTCGGCATGATTTGCGGGATGCACAGTTACCAGTGGCCACACGACTTTAACATTCTTCACACATGGCAAAGTGTCGGCACGAAGGCAGACATTTAATTGTCCACAAATTGTTCTGACAGACAACACATGCTCTGCCATTTTCTCTTCCGAATCCCTCCCCTCCATCCCCACTTGGCGTAAGTCCCAGGAAGACATCCCGTGGAATTTGCTGGCTTTGGTACCCTCGTTTCATTTAAAATGTGACTGTCCAAAATTGTATACTCGTAATTAGGAAAATTGTGTGGTCGATTCTTGCTCTGGTGTGCTGTACAACGAACGGTATTGTGTATCTACGTAAGTATATTACTTGCTTATTGGTTAAAAACGTACAAGTTTATTTGCCTATTTATTAAAAGCGGTAGATGGAAAAATTATAGCGGTGTACAAACTACTCAAGAATATTGCATGCGCGGTAAAAATCCAGGTAAAATAATAATGTATTGTAGCCGTAGGTAACGCAAACCTTCGATAGGCGACATCGTCGGTCAACTCCCCAAACTGTTGAGAGTGATAAGCTGGCTCTTGCATCTGATAGCATGCATAATGTTAAGCGCAAACTCGAGTAGTCAGTGGCCGAATGGGCATCCGACACACGGGGCATGCGTTGCCGATTCCTGATCCTCCGGGGTACAGAGGGTAAGAGTCATCTTGGCACCGAACCAACACCCAGCACGGAAGACACACACGAGTGCGTCGATTGTCTGGCAGGCAACACACGCTCGGATTTCACTCTTCCCCTCCATTTCCGTTGTGTCCGGGGAGGCTGGTGAAATACATCCAGCTGCCGGCGCGGACGTGGAAGCGCTTCCGGCCACGCCAGTCCTGCGTTCCGCTGCCATCTCCCGTAATCCGTGCTCCGTTCG